TCTTCTCTTTATTCCGTCATATGACATCTTCCCCGGTGAAACGCAATTGACACAGGTTTTCATCGGGGCAATTTTGCACTCAATGTTTGTCCTTCACGTCGGTTTCTGGAGGTCGTCCCGGTGTACACCGTTTGTAGGGATTGACAGTACCAGGTCAGGACAAATCTTTTATGTCCCCGGCAACCGAAGTTAACAGCTACAAGCGGAGTTCACTGGAGGTTGTCGGAAGGCAACACCCCCTTCCCCTGCCAAAGATCTAGACATATAGCTTCTGTAAATATAACGTTATAGTCTAAAGCACGTCTCAAATTACTTTAATGGCTGTTCATCATCATGTGTCCAGGACAGGGATTTTGGCGCTGTGACAATGGTTTGTTTTTTCAAAAGTTAGGCGCTTCCAAAGCAGGATTTTTGACATGTTGGCAATACGACATGGCGAGCAACAGACAAAGTTGAACCGAAGTGCCAATACCTCACCAGTTGGGTGGTAAGGATGATTAGGAAGAGGATGACTACCAGCCAAGGTACACAATACAATCATGGACATGGAGGTTCTCAGTAGACTGGATTTGTCACGTAAACTTTTTCCCACACCTGGGTAGATTGGATATCAGATTGCACATCTTCCAGCTATATGTTATTGAGTTTTTAAAGATCGTTGTTGACGAATTTCATGTAAATGATAACTCCTGCACTATTTATTACAAGTGCTTTCTTTTAACCGCACAGTAAAAGTCTCTCCTGGCAGACCTGATGTTTGATATGTGCACAGAGTCTGTGTAGTTGACGTTGTGTTTGAACATATGGTTCCCGATAGCTATAGCCTCCAGAATGGTGGGACCAATATTTACCGGCTGCTGTCAAGGCTGTTCGTTTTATGTTCGTGATTCGCGGAAACGTTCGTCAGATAAAAGTAACCTGTGATTAAGTCCTGAGCGTTTTTGTGACTATTGGCCAATATCCGAGTAACATATTTCGTCTATTGCTGCACTATATAGTTTTGTGTCGTGCAATGCAAGTTCTTGTTCAGTACATTCTGTTCACAAGATATTTTGGAGTGATACAATCATGCCTTGGATGTTGTTTGGGATAGATCTATCATGTCTAAAGGACGAACAAGGTCACAACGATGTACAGAAAGTCATAGATACGTCCTTGAAGCCCTGTAGTCTGACCCATAAACTTATCCATAAACATTCCACGGAATGATCTGCAATATATTAGTCAGTTTTGTCGCTGGACAAAAGCTTGTTGCAGTGGACTGCATCAGTTGATGAGTGAACAGAGATCAGCAGAAAAGGAGTGATGTTGACCGGACACCCCATTCTAGAAGGCCCTCCTCGAGTCGGAGTGAGAGTACCCAGGGTTACAGTCTCTTTGTATCCACATGTTGTTGTGAAACCTGGTGCGAAGGAGCAGTCTCGTGGCCGCCAGCCCGTATCAACACTGTCCAGCCGAAGATAGAGCAAACATGGTGATGGAGCTCAACATTCCATCCCGGTCGTAACCGCTGTTTTTTTGAGGATGTGTAAGCAGGTCGCTACCAGTTACAGTATGTGTGTCGTGGCAACGTACCTGATGGACAACTTGGGATCTTTCTGTGCGGGAGTCGGCGGAAACGTCTGGGAGTTATTATCTACAGTCGCAAAAGTGCAAAAAAGGTTACAAAAGGACATCTTTGAAAGATCAGTTGGGCCGATGGTTTCGTGCGGCAATCTAGATCGGCAGACCTATAGCTTTCAACTTTCTTCAAATTCTACGAGGATCCTTTAAATGAATATTTATATGACAGAACTGATGCTTCCCTTACTTCTTTGCTACCAAACAAACAATTTGTGGCGGTTTCCTGTAACCATAATCCCCTCCCGATCACCTTTCCTTATTTCACCTTTAATCACGTAGTAGCTCTGGACATCACCAGGGTACCAGATAAATATACATTCTGTCCAATGAAGGGCGCCTGTCTATACAACTAGACACCGTGTCCTGTGGAAATAGGGAAGTAAAAAGCCTCCAGGCGATTCCTCAGCAAAGGAAGCAAGCAATAAGCGGACGAATTTGACGATGAAGATCGCAGTAGGCACTGCAATCAAATGTTGGCCACCAAGGTGGTCTGAGCGATGGTAATTGACAAACGATGCAGAATATCCAGTGAGGTTAGGGAAGGATAATAACCTGCAGTGACCCTTACGTTACCTCTGGCTAGCTCATACTATCCGTAACAAATCAGCCCCAGGCAGGTGCATCGTGGACCGTTGCTTTCATCTTCTTCTTTTTTTGCAGTTGCCTTATTCCTTGTTCATCTATCTTTTGTTTACTTTCACAAAATCGTAAACTAATTTCTAGACTTGGCTGATTACCCAAAAGAAAAGATACCATGATTTATTGAAACGGTAACTTTACAAGAAGATTCCGCGGTTCTGGTCTTCAAATTCCTTTAAGTTACCTGCTAGCTGATTGCGCTTGTCTGCGCAGCTGCCTGTACTTCTCTGTATTCATTTTCCAGGTTTCCGTCCAGGCATGTATGAAGTAAAGAACACAGAACTTGCTAAGTATTTTGGGAACCGTGAGTCGTCATCATTCTCCCTGAGCTGAGGTCAGGTACTGTTACACAAACGAGACTGTTTTCATCATTATGTGCCAAGTGCTCCCGGCAGGGTAGCGGGACGCCATGGTGGGACGGGAGGACTTGAGGTTGGGTACAGACCTCAGGCCCGCAGGAGGCCGCCGTGACGTGTCCGTACTGTGTGTCCTGTAGGATCTCCTCGTTACCTCCAATGCGGAAAGGTAGCAAGTCTCTATTATTGACAGGTAACTGGTCAGAAGGACAAACTGCTAACTCCTACCTCCGATCCACAAACATGTTACCTACTTTATTGGCTGCCGTAGACTCCTCGCTGTCCGTTGCTCTTTTGCGTCTAGCTCTTGTCTGGGGCTGAGGAGTGGGAGGATCGCTTCGGCTGATATTTGATCAGGCTATTTTTTATACATATGACAATAGTCTACTGTCTCCACCTCATCAGGTGCCCGTTTGATAGTTTTCCTTGGCATAGGTCGTTAAAAGTAGGCTAATAGGTCAAATGTTATGGAACGTAAATAACAGAGTCTTGCCCATAAATCGTGACGTTAAACAGAAGAGCGGAGTAGTTTTATCTGTTGTGAGTTGTGACTACTCGGCCAAAAAGGGTTTTATTTGCTAGTATATTTAATTCAATTCTGGTTCCCAAGTCTGCCGGAACCACCTACCGGTCATGAACTATAACATATAGTATAAGTTATGTCGCCCATGTTGCTACTATCATCAGCAATCTGCAATTAGCATAAATATGGCATGGGGCATTGTTAAGGCATAATTAAGACAGGCGTTAGGTGAATTCATTTCTGTCTACTCCATATTAACTGCAGCATCCATGTACAGTCTGGGTGCCTGAATGGTTGGACCTATGATCTGCAACGTTCTGAGTAGAGTTTAGAGTTCATGAAATCACATTATATGCCCCACCAATCCATCGCCGCCTTAAGAGCTGTACAGCCAGGTGTTGTGAAAATTCCTGGGCTTGAGTGTCACTTCTCTGTTTGAAGGTCAACCCTTGCCAGGCAGGGGTAGACAAGATTCCTGTTTTCACTTTTACAACTTCTGCAACACACACACGTCAGGTCAGGACTCAATTTTCAGGACTCAAGAATTCGATCGGGATGGATCGAGTGCAACAGGGCAGAGGCAAGCTTAGTCTTCCTTCTCTCCGTTCGCACTTTGAAAAGGTCGGTCGGGTAAACACTTTTGCAGAACGTCATGCGGAGGTCCAGAGTACTACAACTTTCTGACTGAAGCAGCGTCCCTGAGGCCAAGTCGCAAAACGCCAGCTCTTTACCCCGCCCCCTCGGCATACGGTCATTTCAACTCGACCAAACTTCAATTTCACGGAACTTATATTTAGCTTGATGATATTGCCACTGCAAATAGAACCTGCGGCCTACAGGAAATACAGCAAGCGACCACGACCCGCAAACGACAAGACCTTACACAGTTAACTGCCTTGAGACGAGCGTCCCGCTAGGCGCCCTTGTTCACATCAAGTCACGTCTAATCGTAATTACATGGTCGAGACGGTATTAGCAGGTGCACCCAGCGGGGGGACGGGGGTTACTCTAGTTTCCTGGCACTTCAGTATTCCGGGTGCTTCATTTGTTTGGGTCAGGGTCAGAAGTGAGGGCTGATGTCAGGTGGATAGGGACGTGATCATGAACATGTCTCATGGATACGTCTGTTCGTGATAATCCAATTATGTAACCCTCCTAGCAGGAGAGGCACAAGCCTGTTAGGGGACCAACTCTCCTCATCATTAACAGCGACAGCTCGGAGTCAGACGGTGTGATATAAACGAACTTTAATACCGACCCTGCTGTCGGTTCAACGACAAGGAAAATTGTGTCCAACTTTACAACATTATGTTTTATGTTTATGTGTGTCGTTCCGCCAGTGTTTTGTGGGGAGTGGAATGTGCAATTTGAACTTGGTCAGGTTTATGTCCTGTTTTATTGGGTGGCCGTGACGCCCTGTGCCGTCCGCGTGTCAGAGCTCACGTACAGACGAGATAAACCACACAGGAAGGGTCAGGGAACAAGGGCGCGAAGCCACAGAAATGTTGGTCATGAACGCAGGGTTGACAGTGGCTCCAGAGTGGACAGACCTCTGCTGCCAGGTTCTTCCGAAAGTGTACATGCAGTCTGTAGCGATGTTACGCATTTTCTGACAGAAACGGAAATGGCTGCAGAGAGGTTATTAAAGTCACTGTCAAGCTGGGGTCTATATACAACGTATAGAACTTGTTTTTTGCTCTTGGCTTAGTTTCTGGGGCAGCTCTGGTCATGGGTGATAGTGGTGAATCATGACGCATCTAGTAATCACTAGGAATGTATACCTGTAAAATCTGTAAGAGATAAAATGAAACGTCACAACGTTTCAATTACTAATACTGTTGTTCTGTCCTCGTCCTCAGAACAAGACAGTGCCATATGTCCAAAGATACGAATAGGAGAAGATGACCTCCCAGGTAAGTCTCTTGACGGTTTCTTCTCATTACCTTGAAGACTTTACACTTTGTGTCACAGTTTCTACTATTTCTCCACAATCTAATAGAGTTACTTCTGAGAATGATTACACGTATTTTTCTTTGTCTCCAGGGTTTGACTTGATAACACAATTTAGTATTAATGGCGGGCGACCGCTGCCTGGGGTTCGAAAAGTCAAGGGCTCCAGCGATTTTCAAACAGCCTATCGTCTTACAAGACAATCAGATGTACGTGTCAGTACGAGGTAGGTGCACATATGATATCAAGCATTGAACAATGACACGATGAACTGTTCTTGGATGCGCACTGTCAGTAACCCTAAAAAAAACTAGCAGATAGAAGAAGTACTCTTGGCTGAATGATTGCTTGTATTGACAGTCGATCGTTCTCTAGATGGTTTCACCGCTCTGACGAAGGTGTGCAGTTCCCATACAGTATACGACAGGTGCCACAATCAAGTCTAGTTTCTATTTGTCATCTGACTACAATTTGACATCTGTTCAACCATGGATTGTAGGCACTTTCTGTCGAGGGCATTGACACGGGCAAAGATAACAAGTGACAGGACGTGGTGGCACGTCACCAGGCCAGGGATGGCCGGTCCTAGACACAACTGCCGATCGTCGTTAAATCACGACACTGCGGTATGTGTGGACCTGCCCCCCGCCGCACAGCTCAGCTCATCCTAATCTCCAAGCAGATCTTTCGGTGGTCGCAAATGCCAGCATCAAATTGGCCATGGCAGTATCCATTAGCCAGACAGTATCCATTGGCCACTCGGTGGCTAATGGTAGTCTCCTGTGCAGGCCTCCAGGCGGGTGGAAGTTTTGATACGTTGCGTTTTGTACCATTTTTAAGTGAAAATGGACCACTAGTTCATTTAAGTTTTGAACTCTTGACCTCACAGTCTTCTCTCATGGTCGGAGTTCTCAGAAACCGGGTTTTTCTCTGACTCAGGTAAAACACAGCTGGGTACTCCCTGCGATAGCTATCAGTTTTAATTCACTCCGGTCGCCGGTTCGGCATTTTTGTCGCGCCTAGTCCTTATAGTGAGTGACAACTGAGTGAGTGACAAGGATGATTCAAAAGCGTTCTTTTGCCGGCCATCCTTCAACCAGCCGCCCAGAGAAGGTCCCTGAGCGGCTGGTTGTAGGATGGCCGGCAAACAAACGCAGTATTAAAACTCTCACCCGCACGTAGGCCTGCACAAGAGGCTAGGCTATTATGGACACTCCTCTGGCCAATGAATACTGCCTTGCCACTTGCCGTATGATCTGCTTGGAGATTGAGCCCATCCCCCGGCATGCGGGTTGTCGCCGTGCCAGGTTGTGCGGGGCTGCTGGAGACGTGCCATGGAACGTGTGGAAAGCGACACTGACCTTTGCTAGGTCGCCGCGTGCACCAATAAATTAAGCCGACCTCACCTTGACAACGGTCCACATACCGGAAAAATACGCCTAGCACTGTTTTTTTTATCGGGACGGCAAAACGTAGTTGAATGCGACAAATGACCAAAACTGATTCAATTCAACTCAAGAACAAATTGCGTGCTGATCTACGGCACTTTTGTTTCATTTGTCATTCGCATTTGCCTTGCACCTAAAATTACACCTGCGTAATGTCAACCTACCTCGCAGTCATGTAAAAAAAGGCAAAGAAACGATTTCTTCTACAGTTTTAGAGATTTGGCACATGATTAATTCAAAACGATATGTGATGAAACATCAATGTATATGTATATATGCTATGCTGTTTATGTGTACATGTTCATTGACGTAGCTAAAACATGTGTAAGTGTTACAGAAGTTCATCCGGGCGTTCCCCCAAAGTAAACAGGTAAAAAATGTCCCACTATGTTGGGGACTAACCTGTTCCTCCGGGCGGGCGGGTAAATACATCAGAATTACGGCATCTTCTCGACCCGAGTCCAGGGAAACGGCGGTGACATCACGGAATCCTGTAATGTACTATACCCACGCTTCCTGTGTCATTACGGTGACTTATGCCTTTCTAATCGCGGAAGACATGACAAACAGTACATATTGCATGCGAGAATCCCGTCTCTCCCCCGATGTTTACATGGTGTGCTCGGAGATTGTTCTGTTATTGTAAGTCATGTACAGGTCGTGACATGACCTTGCAGGGCCGTTACATCACGCTGATGACTACCGGTGAATGCCCGTAGCCAGGATTTTGATTGGTGATGGTGGGGGGGTCTTCCCACTGTCTGAGGGACCAGCGAGAGCTGTAGGCGCAAGCTTTCTAGGGGGTCCGAAAATTTTGAAAATTGAACCTTCTGAAATGGCACTTCGGAAATGGCACTTCTGAGAGGATTTCGAAGAAAAAAAATCAGATTTAGCTTTTTATTCAATGACAAAGTGAGCAGTTTTTAAGGATTCAAATAGATAGAGATACAAATCAGTCCACCTTTGAAAGAAAAAGTTTGGACCTTCAGATAAAAAGTGGACCTTTTAGCCTTGTGTGTGTGGGGGGGGGGTCCTTCCGAACCCCCCGAAATGGCCACGGGCATGCTGGTGACTACCGGTGGCATGCTGAAAATCTCAGCCAACATTTGGAGATGCCGCTCTAGGTGACATGGCCTAGACCCACTGTGGCCTAGACCATTATAACGGAAACTAGGATTTGTAACATTCAAGCTATAATACAATGCACTTTGCTTGTCCTTGTCTTTTCTTCTTTTCTTGTCAAGAAAAAACCATGTCAGCAACACCCATGACACTTCTGTTCAACTGACATTGAACGCTGGAGACATCATCATCAACATGACGAATTAACCAATTTCTCGCGAGCGTTAACTCTACCGCGATGATTCCCATGACCTTGAACAGGCCATTCTTCATAGCATCTCCCCGAATGTGAACCAGCTGGGATAATCTAAGCAACAATTAAGTCTGTAATAATGTCACCGACACCGACATTTTTTAAATGTCCCGTTGACAAGTTGTTTATCTTGTAACCGGTACAAAGGCAGGGGGACAGGATTCCCGCCGAAAGTTTTCCAGGCTTCGCTCCACAGGTTACTTACAGCTGGATAGGTCCGTTAGAGATGTTATCAGCATGGAGCTACGTTTTTCCGAAACAACATGAGGGATCGGGTTTGTCTAAAATCCGTGTGAACATGGAAATGCTTTTTACAAGACGTTGGAGAAATGGAATTGAGTAAAGAGACTCTTTGTACACATTCAAGTGTTTTATTCACCGTCTGTCACCTTCCTCAGGGTAAATCTGACTGGAGAAATGGAATTGTTAAGTTTGTGAAAAGAAAGAAAGTTTAGACGACATCCGGTCTTCATGACATAGCCACTGTCACTTCTGTAATGTTTAACTTTTCTTTCTTAATTGTTTACCTTTGACCATAGGATATTATAGTCTTGTCATCTAGTCATTCTACAAGGTATAGCTTGTTTGACATATACGCACATCCTTTGTTTTATTAAGTAGCAATCATGGTATGAAATCATACCAGCGTGATAACTCGCACGGAAGCACGTTCTGTCTCACCATCTAATTATAACGTTTGCATTTTTCTCGACCCTCCAGTGAGGTGTACCCCAACGGTCTACCTGACGAGTTCTCGTTCGTCTCCACATTCCGGATGTTGGGCACGACCATCAAGGAAAAGTGGGACTTGTGGAGAATAACCAGTCTGGAGAACGAGAGACAGATGGGACTCCGCCTGGACGGAGAGAACGAATCCATCGAGTTCACTGCTCTCGGGAGAAACGGGGAGCTCCAAACTGTTACCTTCTCAAACGTGCCCATCTTCGACAGGAGATGGCACAAGCTGCTACTGTCCGTCCGATTGGACGGCGTCACTCTCTACCTGGATTGTAAACAGTTCGACGACTTTCCCTTTGGACCAATAGGAGACATCGACACTGCCGGGGACACGACGATAGGAAGGAGGGTCGATGACGACACGTCCGTCTTGGTGAGGTCACGTGATCGTATTCGTACGGGTCTATTTTTATTTTTATACCACTATCCTGAACTTGTTTTAGAGGCTTGATCTTGATCAGAACACGTAAACTTTTTGTTGCATGTTTTTTTTTCTTTCTTACAGTTTGAACTTCAGTGGTTACTAATTCATTGCGATCCGTCCCGAGCGGAGAGGGACACATGTGAAGAATTACCGGTGAGCACACACGACCGGAATTTGTTGTGGACACGCACATCAAAGTGTTACTTACACCTGCCCTTGTATGACCATGTTAACGTTTGTTATCGTGTGGGTAAGTTGTGAAGCGGACGGAGTGATGAAACGTAAATGTTCTAACCAAAAGAATGAAGGGACTACTCTCCAAGCAGAGGTTTGGGTTTTGGCTTATTTTTGTCGTATTTTTAGGCTTTTTTATCGGTTGGCGTAAAGATCCACTGCAAAAAATAAATCTCGATAAAAAGGCCTAAAAATACGCCAAAAATAAGACAAAACCCAAACCTCTGCTTGGAGAGTATGATATGACACTACTGTTCTTTTGTTTTAACCAGATCAGTAATGTTGCGTATCTTTGTATCAGTCTTCGTGTTTGAATATGCATGGTAGTGTGACATGTAATAACTAATGTTTTTCACGTGGTAAACTGGTGTTTTTCAATTTATCAAAAATCACTTAATGTCAATTCAGGTCTTGTGTTCAAAGATTGTACGTCTCCATTTCAACTCACTTCGTTTTTTTCTTTCTCTTTAAACCCCAACAGGGTTTAAGTCTGGAGGTAAGTTCTTATCATCTTACGACTAGCAATCATATAATAATATCATTTATTCATAAAGTTCAGCCAATATACTAACCAGCTCCTGTATACACCAAAAAGATACAAATAAAACGTCCGATCCGTTTCTTTTAGTTACAAAATATACATTTCATGATGTAGTATGCCGTTCAATGGCGTTAGGGTTTAGTTAGGTCATTCTTGAAGCAAACTATGAAACCGGTAGATGGCGTGGCATCCTCAGTGATGATTGTCTGTCTGGCGGTTTGGCTTGCTTTGCCGATGTAGGCTAGTTTAGGTCATAATCGAAGTAAACTGTTCATGATCATAGAGATTTTACCCGTGCCATACCCAAACTACATGTGACTTACACCCCCAAAAGATGAAGTTGTACCTGCTCCATGTGTTGACCTGATAAGTGGATGCGGCTCTACCCCTTCCATGCCCTTTGTGTAGACTTGTACTGAGTTAAATCATACCATCATAGTATAAGGCCCATGTTAGAAGCTTAGACCGAGTCCATATCATTTCTCTGTGTTCCTTAGTGTCACATGATGTACAAACGGTTACCTTTCACGCCAATGTTGTAAGTGGCCTTCCCAACTTAACTTGTTTAACATCCTCTGGCTGTTGTGATAGCATACACGTATTGGTCCCAAACGATATTACCGTTTTATATGATAATATTCCCCACCCAACTGACATTATTAACCATGTTGTCCGTTTCCTTTCAACCTTATATTGATTTTGATTGTCTCTACGACCGAACCCCTTTCCCGGCCGGGCCCTCCCTCCAACCCACACCCTGAGCAGCAGGAAGAAATATTCGACAAAGAGGTACTCCTGCTACCCAACCACGCTTGCGTAGCCACGCCCACTTCTCCGAACCACGCTTTGCCTCTCTTTCTGCACCGCCAGTCGTTGTTTTGGCTCCAGATATGAGTCCATTTAAGTCGTGATACAATACGTTGCTTTATTATATGTTTTTCATCCATTGTTTTAAATGAAAGCAGCGATATCACGTATTTGTTTGCTCACACCAGCTTTTGTGCGTAGTGAGACCAAAGAGGTTAAACTCTTTAACTGCTTCGTTATTCCGTCACTTGATGGATTGTATACGAAACGTTTTAGCTGCAGTTTAGTCCTCTATTTTAGTATTCTATCACTAGGCGGATCATCGGGCATGTCTTTTGCTCGCTTCTAGTGTATAGTGTATGTACCTGTGCTTCAGTTTAGTTGCACACCAGCGCCTCACTGCGTCTAGCCCCCGCATTGCAGGCAAAGAAGGAAGACGATCTCTAACCATGTGCCGCACGTGTGAGAGGCATTTGACAAAGGGTGTCTGTCAGTGTTACTATGAGGATCGCCATAACATCGCCATCTTGTCCTTACCTTACCTACCAAATGACGTAACATATCAATGTCTTTCATGATTCCCGCCACAACCATAACGTCATGAATTGGACCTGTCAGTCAGAATGCTGACCCTTACTTTAACAGGATGCAGTGTGGCAGCAACTGTACCATTTTCTAGATACTGTTCGAGACGGATATACTAGTATACATGACGCATAAAGGACGCCAAGAATTGGAAGTAGTCGTAGTTGTTGAAGCCTGTTCTGCCTCCCTGTCAGAACAGCCTGTGTGATGACTATTCAGCACCTTGGAGAGAGGTCATCCTATAACGTAACATTTTATCGCCATTTCTTGTAGGATTTCTGCCCAAGACAATGTCCGCCCGGTCCGCCCGGAACGAACGGGTCTGCCGTAAGTACGCAGGACTTTCTCGGTATTTTAGATACGTTGCTGTTTCATCAACATTTCTTACATTTTTTATGAGATCGACACTGTGGCTACACCGTGGTAATGCTGAGATCACATTTCCGAAACGGGGACCGGCCGGGCAGTCTTATGGAACTAAAAGTATGATATAAAAAACACCAAAGCACAAAATAGTTGAAAAATTAATAATGGGAACTATTTGCGTACATTATTGATATAAACTGTTGATTTTTCGTTAATCGAAACAGCCCGGCCGGGCCCCGGTTTGGAAATGTGACCTCAGCATAAAGATAAACTAGTAATGTGTGAAAACTGCCTTTGATATTATGCAATTATTTCGTACAGTTATTTATTTATATATTTTTAGATCAAGCTATATGTCTCCCTTCCTGTCCTCGTTCCCAGGGCGCTCCAGGCATACGCGGTCCTCCCGGTCCGATCGGCCCAGCTGGACCTCCGGGCCCCGGCGGGCCGAGGGGGTTTCCTGGTAAACCTGGCAACAACGGACAGAAGGTTTGTTTAAAGTTAACACTTTTGATCCAACACAAGAAAGTTCTCTCGCCTAGAGCTTTCGACCAGTCACTCTGCTCTTCCTCAGTAGACTGACCCAGTGAGGCTTATGACGTGGCTTCTTTGAAGTGTGACGTGACACTGGGTCAAAGGTATCTGGTAGACGATGTCGGCCCCCGTCACGGTTGAGTGAAGGGTGATGGGCCCTAATGTAAATAGCCTCTTTCACCCCTCTCAGGAAAAAAGTCTTGTTCAGAGTGTTGGACAGAAGGTTTGGATTTCAGATATACTAGTATTTTAACATGCTGGCATGACACGACACGATATGATACCGTACATTATGAAGGCATTTAGAATTAGATGCATGTATGGTCAATGACAACACAATGGGAACTGTGAATAGTTGCAATTATATGCATGCAGCATTAAGTTATGAAATGAACACAGTAATTCTTGTTCACGTCTCCCAGGGCGACAAGGGTCACCTGGGACTGCCGGGGATAGCTGGGTCTCCCGGACCGAAGGGCGAACAGGGTGTCCCGGGGTTTCCCGGCGATCCAGGCGAGCAGGTAAGGCTGGTCGGCAAAGGTGTCATGTCGAGAAGTCTGTTCTCAACACAAGGAGATAGGTACCTAACTTCGGTTGGGGAAAGTCGTTGAGGTCACCTGGTGGCGCCGCAGCCGCACAGACCCTTGCAACAGTTCCACTAATTATAAAGTGTGTGGAGCAAATATGTTATGTGTATCATATGTATTATGTGATTGTAAACTCTGCATCAACTCAGTGCTATAAAAGGCTGCGATTGTACGGGTAATGTTTGACCACTAAACCATTTATCATTATCATTATTACCTAATGTAGTATACAATGACTGCTCTCATGCATTCATTTTTGAGCTAACAAGCTATATATAGTGTTCTTCTTCTTACAATACGTAAAATTACTTAAATTTTGATGACTGATCAGATAAGATAGTCTTTGAAATGCAATCAAATTTGTTAATGACTACATGTACATAGATTTTTCAAACCTAATTTTTCGTGAGTTGATAATATTATGTTGTATTTCTCGACCTTACTTACCAATTCAGTAAGAATTCTGAGGTACAGTTTGCCTGTCTCTCGCCAGGGGCCGCCAGGTCTGACGGGTCGGGCCGGTGTACCGGGGTTTCCAGGTCAGAAGGTAAACTATTACGTGAAGAAAAGGTTAATCCCACAAACAATCAGTTAAAAACTTTGCTTGAAACTGCACCTATTCTATACCATAATGCATAACCAATTCAACACATTTATACCATTAAGGAATTTTTAGCGGTTGAATAATAATGATTCTTTGCGTATTTGAGGCGAATGATGTACGAAAACTGCAGTCTTTCCGTCATATTCCTAAGCATACATTTTTAATCTAAATACCGAACTGTTGATAAGTTGATAATATGTAGCTATAGATTACTGATTTGTTACCAACCGTCACATTCTGCCCACCAGACACACACGGCAAGACATCATGGCAAATATGTTCAACGGTACTAATTATAAGTCGTGATATAATGATGATGAATAATAAGTCCAGGGTGAGATCCAAACGTAGCCATTTGGGAACCATCCAGGCTTACCTTGTTCCCAACTGACTCCGTCATGACCACAGGGAGAGCGTGGAGACACGGGAGAACGGGGGCCACCTGGGGATTCGGTAAGGAGGCTCTCAAGGTTTATGATGTCATTTCTTGATGATTTTTCTTTTACGTAACAACAATCGATACTACGTCAGAGTCAATATCACCTCAATAGACATTTATCTTTCTTTTTTTTAAATTTCCTTGCAGACTTTATCAAAGGGAGAACCGGTGAGTATTTCTGTCATATATTTAAAAAAAAAAACATTTCGACATTTGAACGTTATCTGCATACACGAGAATTGGGGCTTCAAATATTCCATAAAGCACTCTACTCTAATTCATTTTCACCATTTTCAGTATCGTCTATTCCTACGATGGCGTATTAACAAAGTTTAAAACCCTCCTATTCTGTAAGGTCGAAGCCTTCCTTGAGCACCCCTAAAAGTTTCAATGGTATAGCCTTTAAAAACCCACTGCAGGGCAGGGGGTATATCCTTTTAACCACCTAACCTGCGCAGACGGCTGTTATCTTTTAAAGTGGAAGTCTGGTTGGAGGAAAGCCCGGGTTGATCCCGAGCAAGCTATTAGCAAAGGGTCTTTCAAGAACAGAGTAAGGCTTGTACAAACAGCGTTAAGCGTTTATGGGCGTGGTTGACAGACATGTAACAGACAGTGCACAAGGCACAAGGTCTAGACAATAGACAACTGAGTCTTAGTTATTCCATAATCCGTATCTCGGTTAGTCTTTTCTTGTCAGGAACTTATTGCCTTTTCTGTGTGACTAAATGGAAACAATATCACAAATATCAGCGCGCCAACAAGTATGCCGTCGATACATGTTGAAAGTCAGATGATCCTGAAAATTTGGGGAAAGGGGTGTTTGGCATAACCGAGTCTGTCAATGGTGCGATTGACCTTTTGCTTTTCGATTTTACAGAGGTCTTGGAGACATAACATTGACAGCGTTGCTAGAGTTGCACCCTACAAGTATACATGTACCTTAGATACCGTAAATTTCACCAGAGCCGAGCTTTTAAAGCGATGTGAAAGCTTTTGAATTGAAACTTACTGACTGTAAGTTTCGTTGTGTTGCGGAGAGCTTTTCTCATTTGAGTCGCTTTAAAGTTTACTTAAGAGGACTTAAGAGGCCGTAAGATCCTCTCAGTATGTCTTAAGGGTAGAAAACAGGTGCAAAGGAAATAGCGTGCCCGGTCCGTCTGTTGTCGACCCGAACCCCTCAGATACGTCCGACATGGTTAATTAGGGCACACAACAACGCGGACGCCATTTACTACAGGGATAACCACGGAAAGGTCACGAGAGGTCGTATCCACTGCATTAACGCCATCCGATAGTGGATCCCTGCACGCTGTCTCTCAGTAAAACTGGTTCTATCGACGACAAACTGTTGCTAATACCGCCAGTTTGAAATTAGTCCACAACACCGTTAAACGATGATAAATACGCCTCCTTTATTGCTGAAATGTGTATTGAAATAGGCTGGGTGCGCAAAAAATCTACTAGTAATATTTCCTAGTCAATCTTACCATATTATACCAATCTTGCTATATTACCAGCCATTTTACTATATGGAATGTCTGACTTTACCCATGATTCCCTGTCCAGGGCAATCCAGGAAGACGCGGATTTCCCGGGGAGCAAGGGCTGCCGGGATTGAAGGGGCTAAAGGTGGGCGCTGTGGTTTGTACCGGACAATAGATCATTGTTACATGAGTCCCAGACGGGATCAGGACTGTCTCAGGAAAAAAAAAAGAAAAACAAGTATAGAGTATAGACCACTTGTTATTGGGTTTACATGTGAGCAAGCCAAAGATGATGAATCTGATCCAATATGACAGTACCCTATCGCATGCGCTGTCGGTCATCACATCCACGCAATTCGTTATCGTGTGATCATGTTCTCGCATCTAATCATCCTCTACTTTCTTCGTCCTTCTCTTATTCTTGCCGTAGGGAGAACGGGGGCTAGTAGGCAGACCAGGGCTGGATGGAAACGACGGATCAAGGGTAAGACTGGCCTAAACTACAACAACTGTTCCACATTTGACAAATCTAGAGCTATTTAACGATTGCGTGAGATCAGAGGTCCCTCCCGGGATGAGGAGGACAAGTGAGTAAATGACCACAGGTGGACTTTTATCCGGTGTTCAGGCACACTTCTTTACACGAGGAACCGCTACCACGTGGACTCACTACACCTTTGGCCAAGGATACACCGCACGAGTGTACGCTCTATTTCGGTCTCATCACTGTTTTATCTATTGAGGAAGGATCCTCCACTTAGTTTCTCTGATTTAGATGGATGATATTTTCCTCCTCTTAGTTTTGTCAAACCATAACATTTCAAGAATTCCTTAATCCAAACTCGACGCCGACTCCAAGTATTTCCTACTGTGAGGGAGTTTTCAAGTATGTGAAATATCCTGTCCGATCACGAGCATTGAGTCGTCATGATTCAGTACATGTACTACTAGACGGATTGGTCATGACCAGACAGTAGGTGATAGATAAAGATGTCAGTGTGTCCCATCAAAAATGCCCCGCCCTTTACTCCTTGGTGTACATAATAATCTCACCCCTTGCCCTTGACGTTGTCTTGGAGACTTCGACCCACCCACCCCCTCCCAAAAGTCTTGGGGAATGTCTGAGCATGTGTCCGTCATCATGCAGTCTTGGCGGACCATTAGTCTCCCCCGCCCGGCCCACTTCTCCCCGCGTCTCCCGCGGCCCGGCTGCCCAACCCTTCCATCTGTTGTGCCAACAAGCGAACAATGAGCGCTCATTGTCTGAGGGCGGCCTGAGGTATAAACATCGGGGACACCTGAGCCAGGTATCAGATACACCGCACCGACTACACGTCCGTTCTCTGAGTTCCCCCTTCTAGGACGGCGTGTACAGAAGCGTTTCCATCACAGCTGAAGAAGTTAGCAGAAAGAAAGACATCTTTATCGTTCAGATAAAGAAGCTTCGAAAATGCCCGACGGCGGCGGCTTGTGGTTTATCTGGTGATTCCGGAATACCAAAAGGCAGAACAAAATTACCAAATCCTCCATTCATGCTTGTGTTTATACACATCCTGTCGCGCCGATATGACCCCAAACTTTCCATTTTACCCGCAGAATGTAAGACCACAACAATGTCTGTTGGGTGTTCCATATGATTATTGGCAAGTGTCCTTTCAGCACACAGACTTAGCATGGGGATAATAACACTGTAATAAAGAGCGCCATCGTGGCTCAGAATTGTTGGGTAAAGCTTCTAGCTTTGCCCTGGCCCCTCAAAAAATGTGACACTGTGACCGTGGCTTAGCGTATTTGTCAAAATGACACGCTTTGTTACCTACCTTGCGCAGGTGGGGCTCAAGTTTGTTGCTGGTTATTTCGCGCATGTGCACAGCGCCGTGGTCTTCCTTCTCTTCCCGCCGAGAAACTGGTCGCAGAGAATTCCTCCTGCACCTGGTCTCGACCTTCCCGACTTCTTCTTTTGTCATTTTGCGATTTTTTTTTCTGACACATCACCATCGCATCATCACCGATGATGAAGGCGGGAGCAGTGTTGAGGGTCTTGGTGTGCACGTTAGTCCTTGTGGCGGCGGCGGGGATAAAACTGGAGACGAAGAAGGTGAAGCGGCACCGGGATAGCGGAGCCAAGAAGCCGGACAGATGGGGCTACCTGACGGGGCGGGACGGTCGCGGGATGGGCGTCGCGCAGGCCACGTTTCACGACGACTTCTTTGAAAAGTACGAGGAGGGCGGAGAGCTCGCGGAGAAGGACGACATCGGCGAGTTCGGGTTCGGCCAGGAGAGACCGCTCGTCAGTACCCGCACTCATCTTGGGATACCTACTTTCTCAGTTGTCTTTCAGTGACATAGTCTTTCCCCTTGAATCAGAAATAATCCCTTCAACTCGTCTTCATACAATCTGCATTCAGTCTGACATTACTTGACGCTATCTTTTTTAAAAGTGAGGAGTACTTTTGGTTGATATTAAGGACATGATATGTGCGACATTTTGCTGACGACTGTTTCCCTCCATCTGCAGGGTGTGCGCGGCGTCATGGGTCCGCCTGGGCCCAGAGGACCGGCCGGCCCTCCCGGACTCCCGGTAAGCTCCATACAACTTTTCCCGTCATATTGCGCTTTTATCAGTTGTGGATGTCAGTCAGGTCGATGCATTGTATAAAGTGTGCAAGCCACAAGCCACGAGTCTGCAAGGTCCTGGCGGGAAGCCAACGGGGGTTACAGATAAGAATGTTGAGTTGACTAGGTTTAGTGTTCTGCGGTTTTGCCGATGTTTGCGGTGGAAGAAATACCCCCTTAGTCCACTTTTACACGTGAAGGGCTGGGTTGGGCTGGACCTTCCGTCGGACCTTGACTGGGGGGGGGGCAGCCCTCTCGATATCATATAGAGCCAAGTCATAGTTAAAGACTTTGCTAACGCTCTTACTGATGTGAACGGGTCACTATTGTTAACGTCTATACGTATCCTACATGTACATCCAGAACATTTGTACCAAAAATTTTAACTAAGTACCGAGGCACAGTTTGTTACGTCAAAATACAGCGCAGAATTGTGTTGAAAGTCAAGAGCAAGAGAAACGCCGTACAGGAGGTTGAATGAATAACTGTCTATGGCGACCACCCCTCTGTCTGGGTAACAAACCTGCGTGGACACGGTGTCGCTTTCTCCACTCAAAGCTCCACTTTCTTCTTTTATCTTTATATTCTGTCACAGAAACTCGGGGATAAGAGTAATTAATATGCCCCGTGTGGTCAAATAATGGAGGAATGTGGTCCCTCGGTAATTAAGGTGATGTCACAGCACGTAAAGAGGCGTGGGGCGACATTAATTCCACCTTCCAGACGTTCTTAAGGCGCGCTCCGTCGGCGTCTGCCTGGGGCTCGTCTCAGACTACCGACATTATGCTTAGGTCACATTTCCAAACCGGGGCCCGGCTGGGCTATTTCGACTGACAAAAAACCCAAAAATTGTATCAAGATTATACGAAAATAGTTCCCATTATTACTTTTTTTCAACTTTTTTTGTAATTTTTTGTCTTTTATATCATACTTTTCGTTCCATAAGACTGCCCGGTCGGGCCCCTGTTCGAAAATGTGACCTCAGCATTACGGCAGTTTTGTGATCGGGAGGAGAAGTCAGTAACAGAGACAGATTAGGCAGCAGCACTGCTCGTACCTTCTATTGAAAAGTTCAGGTACAAACGACGTATTAACCAGAAATACGCAGCAGATGCACGGGTTAACTTAGGACGGCAGAGCTAGAACGGTCTTCAGACTAGTGGACTTGAAATCCGCGGTTTATCCGGAGGTCTGTGGTGGGACAGAGGCGCGTCTTTACGTTAAGTCCGTAATCACCAGGTGTCCGCTGGAAAAGTGACTCACGGGCCGCTAATGAGGGGCAATATTGCGGCCGATCTGCGGCGACTTTTCTCATGAATAGCAGCGATAGAAAAGGGTATCTTGGAGTAGAAAGAGTTTAATTTCGAGGATCTTGCATCCTAAAGGCTAAGGGTAAAAGTGTCGAAATTGATTCAGACACTGTTCCATACCCCTTTCGTATGAAATTATCTGTCCTGACGAATTATTGAGGCCAAGTTATCTCAATCAAGTCAACATTTCTGAGCTTCTAAAACCTCTTACTGAAATACGCACCGGTTGCCATGGCGACGTACATGAGAGTCTGCCGTGAACACGTCGCGACGGAAGGGTAGCATGACGATATGCTGCTTTGATTTGGTCCGTAAGCCTGAGGTTTATGTAAGGGCGCCAAAGGTATGCGTGTCAGAAACGGGCTATTGGTGCTCAAGTAGACGTCAAGTCTGAGCCTTGTCATCGAGCACAGAAAGCCCGATCAAGGCGTCTCTTTCCGAAATCCTAACTGCAACCAGGGCCTTTAGCCTTTTACTGTAGTGCTAGCTAGTTTGCCTTTTCTATGCGGCATGCAAGGCATCAAGTATGATATGATAAAATTATATATATGAAAAAGAAACTCGATGATGAAGAAATCCATCTTCTTCTGAGACGAATATTGTTAAGAAAAAGAACTCGTATTTGAAACCCGCCACAGTTTCTCTAATCTCCGTCGGTTTGCTATTCCTCCTCCCTCAGCTGTGTGGACGTTTTCCGCGGAAGGAGCAGGAGTAGCTTTGATTTTGAGGTGTGTTTTGTTTAGTGTTTAGTCTGCCCGGGGAGGTCTGTGTACGACACGCTTGACACGGCCATAGAAGACGGACTGACCCCTCTCTTTGTCACAATAACACCAAAACTCTCTCCGCCAAACCGCATAACAGTATCGGTTATACCGCCACCTTACCCGGCCACCGCATTTTTGCGGTGAGATTCCTATCGCCCTGTGAGTGGGGATGGTTTACCTGAAGTATCACTCCGACACTCGTGTTGCCACAAAATACGATCAAGAAGAGGAAAGAGTTTTGTCCTGATTACAGACAGCAGCGAAAAGACAACTCCAGGCACAAACTGTTTAATACCAAGAAATAACAGTTATGTGGACTTTCTTTGCGGATGAAGAAATGAGGTTCGCAGACGTGGGAAGAACGTGTGGCAGACCTCTGTGGGAACTGCACGCTGATTCTAAAGCCAACGTGGATGCGGTTAAAAGGTCTTCAAGTAGAACTATCCCGACTATTCTCTGTCATTCTCAGCTAGACACACAGTACAGTCAAAGTCATTCAAGTACAAAACTGTTGTTCTTAAGCAACTTCCTTTCATCCCTAAGATAGCCAGGTGAGGATGGGAAAGTTGTCAAAGAAACTATCTTTTACACCACCACTCAGCGGGATTGATTTCGGGTTTTTTTCACCATACGCTCTCTCTGACAATTTTAACCCATCTATACTCGAATTGAGATGTATTTCGTCCTTTTAGTATCCGTCAGCCCCTAAACAAAGTGAATCCACTCTCTGTTACACAAAATAACTGCCAGCGGCCCTTCTCGCCTCCGGTGAAAGGGTGTCGTTTTAACAAATAAACAAAACAATCTGCTGCGAAAATAAACACGATGAAAATGGCTACATCCCTGTGCAAATACGCGGATAAAGCGGGGCCGTAACATTTTTGTCCCGGGGTCACCTGTCCTTAAGAGGGAGCAGTCGAGAGGTTACTGTTCATTGTGTTGGGGAAGTGCGGCTGACAGTTGATGGGGTAGTGCGTTGACGATGGGAACATCTTTGAGCAAACAAGTTCAACAAAGTAAAACTTAACCCTCCGCGCAGGTGTCAAGAAAGCAAAACAAACAGATCCTCCGCCATTGATCGTCCGACTCTGTTGGTGGTCAAGGTCAAGGAACAGGTGTTCAAGGTGACATAAAGTTACTTGGAAGGGATTTCAGCTGTCTCGGACATGGGAAATAAAGAACTGTGGGGTAGGGTGGTTCTAACTAGTACTGTTACACAACATGCGAATGGTAACACAGCTACGCTTGTGGTTGATGATTGTCCCGTTTCTACTTTTCTTTTCCCCCTTACTGACGTTTAGAGAGAGATATAAGACAAGTGTTACAGCAAATTAATGGGCAACTTCGAGTCAACTTCTTGTATGTGTGTTTGATGTTGTGTTTGTGTTTCTCAGAGACAAATGATTTACAAGTAAGGTATTATTGGCCACTCTGGCCTGAAAAACAGGCCAGAGTGGCCTGAGTGTGATACCTGGTTAAACAAATAAAGTTAAAGTTATTATCTTTATTACTTATCATTTTTATCTTCCAGGGTCCCCCCGGTGCTCCCATGATCCTTCCACCGGACATGGAGGGGAGCGGCATCCAGGTAAGTCAGCAGGGCAAGTGGATATAACTGTACACAGGGGTAAAGTCGCAAGGGGCGCTTCTCGTACGAGACAAACTCTAGTGGTGTACCTGTTAACGTAACGTCAGCGATTGTAAGTTAACTAACTGTAGTTGGCAAAAACGTTGATTTTAGTTATGTATGGCAACCGAATGCCAATCAAAGATGTCTTAATGTTTATGTGTATGTGTCAATTACTGACTAATATAAAAATGAATGACCACCAACAGAAAATTATCCTAGGAGCGTAGAGGCACTACAAGTTTTTGTATTGATAAATACCACGCATTTGCGGTACATCATTACGGTACGTCATTAAACCACGTGCACTCTGTTGGTCTTGTTCATAATCATGTCGTCATTTGTGGCACACGCCCACGTCACATGTCGTTCGTGAAACGTCACCTGTGTGACGTCATCACTCCCTGTACAACGTGAAAGGAAGATGACAGCCATTAGTTAGTACATGTACATGTATTACAAATCTCCTGCGACGATGTCTTAGCACCCTACAAATCCGTCCCATGCTTGTTACACGTACATTCCCTGCCCGCCATGCGCCACCCCAGAACACAACCCTACCCACCTGTATGGCTTCTGCTGTTAATCTCCTGTCACTGCACGCCAACTCCTGTTTCCAGGCGCAGTCCTATTACAGGCCGTCAAAAAAAATCTAAGACAAAAATTACTTGTGTGTACCTTCTACAAAGAAAAACACAATAACACAACGCAAAAGATTCTACATTCCATAATTTGCGGGACTTTTTAGTCTCCTGCTTTTGTTGCCGTTTCAGCGTTACTTCTCTTCCACTAAAAATTTGTATTGGTTGAAGGTTAGAACTTTCATATGATGAATAAGATGGACTTCGCCTGGATGTGCAAAATGCGAGGATAATTAAACTATGTTTATTTAACTGCTTCTTTTCTGCCTTGGCCGACCCTGTCCATCTTTGCTGCGCCTCTACAGAGAATACAGTGGCTGCGGGTCAGTACTCTGGTAAACACTAACGCACACACCGGGCGGCCGCTTGACAATCAGTCTATATCTCAATCCGACTCGAAGAATCCACTGTATAGTTTACGTTACTTTAGTTTACGTTACTTTAGTATTCGCACGGTATGCACCAGGTTTCATTGATGACTATATGTGGTATTTGAGTATCATTAGCGGCGTTTTAAAAGTTTACATGGCTTGGCCTGAGGACAACGGGCGACAGCCTTTCCGTGTGTACGTGGTCTTGCTATAAAACACATCGAGGCAGACGATGGAATGGTATGGTGGACTCTGTGGCGATATTTTTAATATTTTTGAATGCCTATCTTTGAGTAACACAGTCAACATTCTCGTTTGATTTTATGAATTCTTTTTTCCTTTCAGGGCCCACCAGGACCACCGGGACCTCACGGTCTCCCCGGCCCGCCTGGATTCCCCGGCCCCAAGGTTTGTTAACCCTTCTCTATATTATTTTCCCATTGATGATTCAGTTTGTATCTTATTTCTAGATTACAGGACTCCTATAGTATATACTCAATACCGATTTGACTAATTTCTGGCCATTGCCATCATTCAGGGTCACAAAGGAGATGCAGGAGACAACGGCATTCCTGGGAAGAACGGCTTCGACGTAAGTTGTGTCCGCCTTGTGTTCGGTTTCATGGGATCATCAACGATTGGTGGAGTAACCATTATAATGATAATAATATACCTTCCATTCACTTTGTACGGTCTTATTCTACTTTGTGCTCTGTGACTTGCTTTCGACATTGACATGGGTACATAGACCATGTGTGCGGACAGAAGGTCCTTTGAACCGGCAGGATGGTTATGGTCTACGAAATGGCATCAACATCTTTGGACAGCCTATCAATAGGATCCTTTGCTATCAGAAACTTATGTATATCATTATCAAACACTTAAGACTAGTAGGCAACCTCCGTCGAGTATTGAACTCCCAACTACAGATGCTCTTTGCTATATGATTGCATATCGTTGACGTGACAACTGAGTTGCCTGTATTACAGGGACAACCTGGACCTATGGGTCTCCCTGGGGCACCTGGTGTGGACGGACGAGCTGTGAGTATCCAACATCTTTGTTTACCGAGGTGTATGCAGTGTGCCTACATAATGTGTACAATGTTAGTTAGGGACAAAAAAGTACGCAGTTTTGAAGAGTGTTTAAATCGCTGCTACCAGTGGGTGAGCCTGTAGGAGTAGAATGAGAAGGCAGATCAAACTTCATCTGGGCTTGAGGAGGTATACATATATATATATCTCAAACTCATCATTCCACTATCTATTGATAAAAGCAGCAATGACGTTTCCTCGGGTAGATAATTAGCATTACTAGTGCAATGGTACACCAGCAAATTGACTTCATTCACGCAGATGATTTGTTCTCTATAGGAGATATGACTACTAATACAGACAATGTTCCTTTCTGTAGGGACCACAAGGGCCGAGGGGAGACAAAGGACCTGAGGGACAGAAGGGGCAAAAGGTAGGTTAGATAAAGTGATGTCAGACAGAGAAACCAATGTCTTCACTCAGTCCTTTTTTATGGTTGATGAAGTTGTAGATGTGACAATTTTTTTTTCTTCTTCCTAGGGTAACCCAGGATCTATGGGCCTGATGGGACCACCAGGTGAACAGGGCATGCGAGTAAGTACACACACACACACATGTGCTGCAGACCAAGGTCATTTTGCTTTAGACACATCTACAGACTAGTGTGCCATTCATTAGCCAATCCTGGCCATTAGGCTATTCAGGCCAGAGGCTGTAAGATAACATAAGATCCTGTCTACTAGGTATGCATCTTACTGTGAGTCGATAATATAAAAGTCACACTTTTTAGTCAGAATCTGATTCATATATTCCATCATCCTCTGTGTACAGGGTATAGATGGAGAGAGGGGCAGTATGGGACCACAAGGCCTCAAAGGAACCAAGGTAAGATGTTCTTTGGTCTACACAGCTACAAATGATTTCATGCTATTTTTTTGACCATGTGTATTTGCATTATGTCGCCATCATCAGCATAGGAAGTACTGTGAGGTGACTAACAGGTGGTTGACTTTCCTGTGTTGTACAGGGTGAACCTGGCAGGGGTGGAAGAACAGGCATGATGGGACCCAAGGGAGAACCTGTAAGACATGTTTCCACCCTTATGTTGCTTCTACTGCCAAATAGATTGGGTATTTGATTTTGGCAACAAATAAGTATGACATCACAGGTACAATGGTGTGTGGCACTGTTAGTAAAGCTGCATGGTTGTCGCTGTCTACTAGGGAGAACACCAACAAAGTAGAAATTAAAACTTAAGTCAAAAGTGAGCTTAAGGGAAAAAAGGCTTTTCATACAAATGAATTTATCCGTCAATTTTGCATTATATATACATATGCATAGTGAAGATGAGAAGAATAATTCTTTTTTATCAACCTTTGTTTCTTTGCGGTCAATATTGAATTATTTTATACATTCCAGGGACTGAACGGAGTACCAGGCAGGGATGGTGTTAATGGATTTCCTGGATTAAAGGTGGGTCAAATCATGCCTATAAATCCTCATACTTTGTGCTTGTCTTTTAGTGCAGGCTCCAAGATCTCAATGGTTGCTTTTCAGTTTTGTCTGCATGTCCACATTTTCTGGTAGCTAAGACATTGCCTGGTTATTTTTGTGGCAGGGAGAAGCTGGACCAGTTGGACCTTCAGGCATCACTGGAGACAAGGGACCGATGGTGAGTGGGACATCTCTTAAATTTACTTCAGAAGTTTTATCTTTCCTTTAATAAAAAGTAAGTGAAAAAAAAAAGAAATTTAGATGGTAGCATAAGAGAATACTGTGTTGTTTGGTGAATATTTGGTGCATTCTGGAACTGTCTTGTTTCTTCATGCAAAGTTGAAATAAGAGTTTCAGGCACAGTAACATTCATCACTACTGTTTATCATTACCAGTGAATAATTAGATATAAGGTGTATACAACACCAGTGTCTACAATGTATGCAGCAATGTATCCATCACCTCTTTAACATTCTAGAAATATGTTATCCAGTAATGAATACATCAATGTATAACATGACTCCACTACTCCCTGTTGTCAGGGTGTGCCTGGCCAACCAGGACCTAATGGGCCAATGGGACCCAAGGGAAACCCTGGTCTGAACGGAAACCAAGGACCAGCTGGACAGCGTGGACCACAAGTATGTAAAATGATTATTATGGTATACCATATCATAATAGTACAGTGTTCTTGCCCTGTATGTTATCTCAGTTTCATCTACAAAGTACAAAAAAGCCATTAAAAGTGTAAAATGTAAGGGGAAACCAGGCTTTTTCACCCTCTGAGAGAATCATTGTAGCAGTTGTTTTAGTGCACAAGTCTTGAGAGTTTACAAAATTCTTGTAGCATTGACAGCAATTCAATTAATCTTCCCTTCTTGTAGGGTGTCCAAGGCCAACCTGGTATTGATGGCATTGATGGAGAGAGAGGTCCCATGGTAAGTCACACAGTTTCATACACTTGAATTGTAGACGTTAGATGACACATGTACATGTTAACGTTATATCTTATATACATGTATATTTGTCGTTTATGTATTTGCATGTTCTCTGTTTGAGATGGTACTGAATCTAACCCAATGATTATGATGATGTTTGAGATTTTAGCTTGTCTATCCCTGTAGTCCTGGTTCTCATATATTACTTTGGTGATGCACCTTATGTTAATGTTTAACTATTTCTTCTCACTACAGGGATACCAGGGAGAAAAGGGAGACAGAGGTCCTCAGGGTATTGTGGGTCCAATAGTAAGTACCTGCAGGAGTTTCAAGTGAATATAAAATATCATCACTTAATATTTCTAGCTTTCTTTTGTATTGTAACTCAATGGGATGAACAGCTACCAAATTTTCAATCCTATCTCATTTTTATTAGGTACTATTATCTGCTGGAAGTTTTTCTCTAGGGAATGCAATGTTATGAAAGTCATGAATTCATGTTGAAAAAATGCCATTTTTTTGTTTGCAGGGTCCTGCAGGTTTGTCTGGCCCCATGGGCATGCCTGGACAGAAGGGTGACATGGGTGACCCAGGACCAAGGGTAAACACATACATTAAATTTTGTACCATGATACATTTACTATACTGTCTCTGCCACCATATTTTGCACATTGTGACATGTACACTGTCTTAAACTTAAAGATGACAATGCTGATGAACTGTCTGCTCTTGTGTTCTCATGTCATAGGGAATCAGAGGGGTTCCTGGCAGGGATGGTTCCAAGGGTGAGCCTGGAATTCCTGGTTTTGATGGAATCCGAGGTGAAAAGGTCAGTCATGTTCAGCCTTTCAATCACCTGTCTATTTTGCTGAGCGTTTGCATCATTGTATTTAAAAACAAATACACATCATTTCTAAACTTTTGGGTTCTTTCAGTGACCTTTTCTTACATCTATCTAATTTTGTTTGTAGGGTGATATTGGTGGCATCGGACCCAGAGGAAAGGTACGTAAGAAATCAAGTCCTAAGCAATACATGTGGAAAGGAGGAGCTGTATATAACAGTCTTAGTCACTTTACACAGACTGCACTTACAGAACCCCAGGTTGCATTAGTTATCCCAGTCTTCTTGACAACAAACAGACAAAGCTAAAATGCTGTTAACTGTGTAAGTGATCCTGTTTTGCCGTAGGAAGGACCAAAGGGAGATGCAGGATCGGTAGGACCTGTCGGTGCCACTGGCATGCCAGGACAAGTTGGACCTGCTGGGCCCCGTGGACCACCAGGTGTGGAGGGTACTCGTGGCTTCCCTGGATCACAAGGGCCAACGGGACAACCTGTACGTAGAACTTTCCCTTCATAGTCATACAAAATAACAGAAAGAAATTAGTCTAGTCTAACTAGGATGTGTCAACAGAGCTTGCAGTCTGTTGTGTTTGTCTTTCAGTTTTAGCAGTTACTGCTGATAAAATCGAAGCAGTTATTGATGGTTCCATATGTGTGTGCTAGCTTGCTAAGTCAAAAGCAGATAGCTTTATGGGTCTTCCCTTTGTGCTGAATAGCCCAGCTTGATGGGTCTTCCCTTGGTGCTGAAGTGCCCTCCAATCATGCATGTCACCTTACCTATGCCTATTCTGTTACCAGGGAAGATCACCATCAGAAGAGGAAGTCCTGAGGATATGCGAGAGGGCCATTGACAGTAAGTTTGTGCTGTAGGACAATAGCAAAATGGAAACTTCGTGGTCATGGCACATGAAATCTAAAAAATTGACCTATGATTAGCCTTGTTCTGTTTCCTTGTACTTTTTGCGTGCATACTACATAGGATTGGGTTATGTACCCAAGCATAAATGACTTTGTGTACCATATGAATAAGTTAATGCTTATAATAACTTGTATCAGAATTTTCATCAATGAAATCCATTCTTACCTCACCTTGCCACAGGTCACATGAAGATGATGGCAGCCTCCCTTGCCCAGCAGGCAGCCAAGCGTACCGTGGTGATGAACCGTCCTGGACCCCCGGGGCCGCCTGGCCAGCCTGGCCCGACCGGAGAGCGCGGGCCGGTGGGTGTGGCAGGGCCACCTGGACCGCAGGGGAACCCCGGCATGCCGGGAGACAGGGGATCCATGGGACCATCAGGTATCAAAAAATTAATAAATCAAAAATGGTTTATCGATCAATCATGAACATTGCAGCTGAAGGCTGAATTGCATTCATGGCTACACAGTCTTAAACTGGAATTGCTTCTGACATTAAAAATATTTATGTTGCAGAACCACATTACAGGTACAGCCGCAAACTTCTAAGAGCTGGGTGTTTGTAAGCTTTTCATGCCATTGCTGTTATAGTGATATAAGATATCATCAATAATACAATCCTATATTTCCAGGGCCCCAAGGACTGCCAGGAGACCGTGGAGAGCCAGGCTATGGAATACCAGGACCTATTGGAGCACCTGGGAGAGCAGGTAAGACTTACGTATCTCAAAGATGTTATTACTACAAGCTCATGAACTACCTACATTTCTTTTCAAACCAATCAAATATCTATGTCTTGTAGGAAGTTTATTCCAACAATGAATGATTCCAAAAGGTATATTCATTGCCTGTTGTCTCCATTGCTGTGTAACAGGTGCTCAAACTTCAATCTGCCATATACCATTTGTTATATTGTTAATTGATATGGCCATAGTTTGCTGGGTCTTTCCTTGGTGCTGATTTGTACTCCGCTTGACAAAGCCCAGTTGATTGAGTGCCTACTTCTAATTTCATTACCAGAATTTCTGTTCACAAATTTTTTCACCACCAGGATTCACAGACAACTCTGCTTCCTTACAGGGCGGAAAGGCGAGGCTGGCATTGGTGTTCCCGGCAACCCCGGCCCGCCCGGTCCCATCGGCCCTGTCGGCGCTACGGGAGCGCTCGGCCAGCGCGGCCCACCTGGCAGCCCTGGAGTGTGCGACCCCATGTCATGCCTAGGCCTCTCACCTATCATGTCCAACACCAAGAATAAAAAAGGGCCCGGCAAATGAGTGAAAAATCCTGACATAGGACAGCTGCCTCAGCATTGAATTATGCATTGATTTTTTGGTTTCGAGTTGAATAGCAGGCAGCCAATAATGATGTAGGACAGGATGTCAATCAAAGATGGATTAGGGAGAAGAGTTGGTTACTACAGGAATGACTAAACTGTTGACGTGATTTATGAGTAGGTTTTACTGATTGAACTATGGTGCTACTTCCATATACCTTAGTCAGTTTTCCAAGTTTGCCTTTTATGGTGCTTTGTACATAACATGTAGAGAAAGGTAACGCAGTTAGCATGTGTTGGAGAAGTGGTGTAGTACTTCCTATCTGTGTGCCAGTTTCTTCAATGTCATATATGCAAATACACAACTGTCAGAGGAGAACATGGCATGCACAACTTCTTATGCAGCCTTCTCTTCACCCTTTGTCATTTCTATCATTTACCTTTCCATTGCCGCTTTATACTGACTACTGTAGATTTGCAGCATCAGTTGTTTTCAGCACATTATTTTGCATCTTACATATCAAAATTGACATATGTCAGAAATCCCCATGACATCTCGTGACAGGGCTCTTTTTTGTGCCTGACATGTTCTCTCTATGATCATTGACAAACATGTATGGGAAGTACAGTTTGTTTCTGAGTGTTGAGTGATTGTCTATGCACATAAGGAACTTCATTGGTGAATTGTAGACTGAACTCAACACTCCACTGCTAGTGCTTCATTTTGTAGTCATACCTACTATTCTCAGAATACATGCTACTGTGTGTTGCCTTTATTTTTTTCTATTGTTACTACTTTCTCTTTGAATATATGTAAAGTTGTTTATTCTTGTTGTAAGAATTAATGGAGATATATTATCTGTAGTATACATGGATGGCTTAGAGATGGGAACCATTCAAGGCACCTAATCTATAATCGTGACAGTATTGTAGCCTCCATCCTCACTACATTTCAAACTTCACCTAGTCATGAGCAGTAAAGACCTGTAGCCTTTGAAATAAATCTCACGGTCATTATAAACGCTATGACAGCCATATGTCACCCACTATTGCCTATAGTAGTAGAAAGCATTTATATCTGTTCTAGGTTGAGATTTTTGGTGAGATTGGGTACTGATACATCACTAGTCCTATTTGGGGGTACAAGATTATTGAGAACTTCTATTGTGCCATATTCTTATGGGGTGGTAGCTGCAGTTTTATCTTGCTTTGTTCTGATTGGTGTGTCCAAACCTTGTAATGTTAAAGCTAGCGCAGACAAGGTTTTCATATGTTGCGTGTTAGACATGCAAAGATGCGTATGCCTAATATCACGTTTAGCATATTTTTGATTTTGAAAAGCTTATATGACTAAAACTTATGTGACTAACTATAATATCAGATGTACCGCTATCATGTCACATTAAATACAAGTGTATACTGACCACAGAAGATACAGGTCTTCACTGATAACGACATTAGCTGTCATCATCACACCCATCAGTAGGCCAGATAACCTTCTCCCTGCTGCTTCTGCTGTAACCAATACAAACTTGGGTGCATTGATGAACCCACAGCAGGGAAAGGGTTAAGTAGTGACATCAACATTTTCAGCCATTCATTTTCACTCTCCTGGGAACATATTTTTATCATTTTTTGTATGGTTTGATGGGAAATCATTATTTGGAGAATATTTACTGATTGTTATATTGCTATACTTAACTTGATCTGAGAAGTGCTTGCCAATAGGCTTTTGTTACCATGTATGTAGGATATATCTTGGTATAATACTAGCAGGATGGGTGGATGTGCCTTTTGTAAAGCATTAAAATCTAGTCTTTCTTTCTTTTTCTACTTTGTTTGAACATCTTTTCTTGACATGTCTGGCTATATATTTATAAGACAATGAAATCCATAGTATTACTAAATTTGTATAAAAATCCAACCAGGTTTCAGCATTGCTGAGCATTGCCGAACCTTTGAACATCTAACTCTAAACATTGTTTAGTCCACTTTAGCTGACAAGTACATTTGGTCACAAAACCCGAGGCATCAATAACAACAAAACAACTGTATTTTTTCCTTTTTGTTTTATATCAAGATCCATACTTCCGTATGGAAATATTTGTAATGGAATCTTGTTTCCACATCAGAAACTACTGCTCCAGGAGCTAGTGATCCCTGGAACTTAACTCTGACTGTCATGGTAACATTCGTACCATTATGTCCACATCTCCCAGCTTACAGTCTGTGTTACTTTGCAAAAACTACTAAGTATATACACTTTACAGGTAATAGCAAAGATTAGAACGATAATCATGATGTTAAATTGGAACTTTGAGGTACTAGTAACAAAAACTTCTTGAAAAAAAATTAGGTATATTTTCTATACATATATGTCCTTGCTCGGATGCAATGAATTCTAAAAGCAGGGGTCTTTCCTGTCATTTCCTTCAGTCTGATGGCTTGTAGTCTGCAGGTCTGTAAATAACAACAAACTGTAACTGTCTGTCCTGTTTACATTTAGAATTACAGAAAGCCTACAGTTCCTGGGCAAAATGAACAACACATGCATCAATGAAAAGAACTGAGAAATCATTCCAGCTTGGGTATAAATTAAATTATTCTGCATGGCTCTTAATATCTGTTAATATCCATGTGCTTTACAAAAACTTAAAGCACTACTGCAAAAGCAGCTTATATTTGACAAATAACAAAGAGATGCATAGATCATTTCAAAACCATGAGGTTCAATCCTAATTTCCATCCTTATCTCGCAGTTAAAATCATAACCACTTACGGTATAAAGAGTCTTGGCCAGGAAGCCTTTTCTTCCTCTGTGAACTCATCCAGTCTCTTGGGAGGCTCCATGACTGGTGGGATGATGTCAACTAAGTTTTCCTTAATGTTGTCAGGTATGTTCTGTAGGCAGAAACATCACATAGCTAGAATCTGGCATGTTATGTTAGTATAACATGGAAGCTGGAATCATTTTGCCAAAGATGCATTCTATAAGTATCATGTATCAGCTTACAAAAGACCTAAAAGACCATCCGGATTTTAAGATATGTCTTGTTTCAGCCACTTACCTCATCGGCAAACAGATGTAATCTAGTCATCAGTGATTTTCTCTGTCCGTTCTTTGGTAGTTCACTGTACACTTCCCTTTCAAGCACCTAGCAGAATAACAGCACACATATGAACTACTGGTATCAAACACAGCTTTATGACAGGATGCATGCAAATCATATCTGCTACAGGGTAATATTTCAAATAGTTTTAAAGTGAATAATCTCACACATATTTGCCAAGCTGAAAAAATACTTTATTCCTCTCAACCTTCTCGACTTCTTTTAAAGTAGAACTTGTACCTTAGTTGGGTCCATTCTGTGGAAGTCTTTTGCTGACATTGCTATCATTGTGTTCTTATACCTGTAGAAAAGAAATAACATGTGAGTAAACTTTTCAGAGATCAAACAAAACCATTTCTGATTGGAATCCTCACTACAAAGCAAACTACAGTACACACACAAGGATCCTGGCCTGAGCTGGCGGGTACTCACCCTGTGTTGACAGCATAAAGTTTCTTCTCCCACTGGTTCTTTTCAAAAGCAACTTCCTTGGTATTGATCACAACTACATGGTCCCCACAATCAGCTGTAGGAAAGAACATAACAGATACGCCAAAAAACAGTTACTCAAGCAACTGGATATGATGGTTTTAGGTAGCATCCACTACCTTTCGTCAGTGACACTAAGAGACTGCAGGAGAAATGTATCAAGACATAACAGATATGTATCAAGACACAAAATCTTGATATCGTTTACTATGATTTGTGCATGCAATAATATTTACAGAATTATCCATGTTACATAAACGAGTGAATGGATAGATGGCACATGTTAGCCGCACTCACAGAGTGGATGGTAGACGGGTTTGTGCCGACCCTCCAGATATTTACAGATCCTCTTGGCCAGTTCTGGTGCCGGCTGCCATCTGGCATCACACAGTAACCACATTCTGGAGAAGGTCAGCCAATGCTGGCAAAAATATTTTGTTAAAACTATATAATATAGTTAATGTTAGTCTATGACAGTATAGTATATTCAAAATGCATGATCTAGATTTGCCTATGCTGCAAATGCTAAAATATATGGCCCAAAAATTATGACAAATTGAAATTTTGTAGCTAATCTGTTTTCCCCAGGCCCTGCTGTTGGTATGGGTTGCTTGCCTCACACGCACACACCACGCGCACGCACAGATCTTCATCTTCATCTTCATCTTTGCCGGGGCTCAAAGGTATGTGAGCCCCGGCTACACCCCCATATAACCCCTGATGGGGTCAATATGCACAGTTGGCAATTCGGTGAGATAACTAATGACGTTAAATGTATCAACAGAATGAATCATTTTCGTTAAATATACGTGTTGTACATGATTTAGCTGCATAGTCTTGTGTACCTACCTATACCCGCCACACAGCATGGGCATGGGGAGGGGGGCGGTGACCTGCCTCATTTTTGCACTTTCTATTGTCCATTTGATCTATTACTGATCCATAAGACTACATAACGACCTTATCAAAACTTACCTGTTGTACCCTACTAGCCATGTTTACTGCCTGGGTCCCTTAAAACACTCTGCCCGTGTAGAAAACACCGTTTTTGTCAGGCAGACGCAATATTTTTACATGGGCGCTGCCATCTTTGAAATTACCCACAGTGCTTAGTGTCAGACTGTGCCATGTAACCTTATATGGGGGAGTACTATGATCACTGCCCCTTTACTTCAACTGAAAGAATGTCGGAACAAACGATGATAACGTTGCAATAAAAGAAGATATCTTGCACTTTCTTCTTCTATTTTCCTTCCCATATCGCACGACTTGAAGCGGACTTCGGCGATGCCACTGCCAGTAACCGTTACTAGATCCAAGCAGAGGTTTGGATTTTGGGTTCAAATGATTTTTGGCGTGTTTTTAGGCTTCTTTTGTATCGGGGTTTCTTTTTTGCACTAACAGTTAGACTTTTTGGGGGGATGAAAAAAAATTCCAGTACAAAAAAGTAACCCCGATAAAAAAAAGCCCCAAAATCACGCCAAAAAAAAACAAAACCCAAACCTCTGCTTGGAGAGTAAGTGCTATTCAAATGTTATTATCCGCGTTACGTCTCTGCATATCATTTTGAGTAGTGCCGTTCTCTTCAGGTAGGATCTATTCGAAGTACCCGAAAAAAGAAGACACAGAAATTGGAAAGGTACGATAAAAGAATATATTTTGCAAGGAGCCAGGAGGATCAATATGTAGAACCCTCCAGTTGTTCGTATCAACTTTATATGAAACCTCGCATGGGCAGCAAGACCCTGAACCTGCCTGAACATGCATGTGTGCAATCATGGATTTATATGGGACACATGGACTCCGACCCCCTGTGCGGCCCAAAGCTTACCCGGTGAAGGTGTAAATGCAGTGGCATTAGGGTTTCATCATAATTCATTCCCCCTCTGAGGAGGACAACTCTACGGTGGCTAAACTCCCCTGGCATATTTGGCTAAATTCTACCAAGGAGGTTCACTTTTGAACCTCCTTAATTCTACTAACGTTACATGTATTTTTTAACCCGGCGCGTTGTTAGTCTGGAGGAGACTTAAAAAAAAATCTCCCAGCTCCCCTAAGTTACTTCCACGTAACGTTATACTCGAGTCGTACATGCATTCTCCTAGCTGTATGAAAAACCCTCGCCATATCAAGTTTCAGAATGAAAAATTACAAAATAAATGGCCGTGTCCCAATTCGCCAAGGCTTGTTTGCCTGTCATGACCTCACATATGTCATATGCTGCCACCGTGACGATTTAAGCGTTCATATACTAGAATAGAACAGGCTGTGGTGCGTGTGTTACGCCGAAGGGCGGTTATACCGGCTATACCGATACCGATACAGAACCATCACCTTAGTCAGGCTAACTATTACCCTACATCACACAATCACCATTTTCCACCAGCATTGTTATACTTCACTGCCACTTTATTCCACACCTTCCTGGCGTTTCCTTGGTGATTTCACTAAGGTATCCATAACAAGCGTGTTGCCAGGAGCCGTATTTGCACATGGGTGCCATGAAGGGTGATCGGTACGATCTACACCAAACAGTTTCGGACTATCGATCACAATAACGGAGACGGAGGGCACAAAAACACTTGTTAGAATGGGCGGTGTTTGACGGCCCTCCATGGGACAATTGTCGCTGTCGGATGATGTGACAACTATAATGGCGCTACATGGCCCGATTCATTTATAGCGACTATAAGATTTCAAATTGAAACCCCATACTCGCCCCGAACATACAAAAAAAGTTACAAAGCACAACACTGTATTATGCATTACCAGTTCCACAAAATGTAGCTTTAAAACTCAGGAACAGCATATATAGCGGCGTGGCAAGTCAGATCAAAGAACCACTCTATTGCAATACATCAAACTTGAATTTGACTAGGACATGGAAAATCGATGAAACATTTAAGTTGCACAGTTTTTCTGCCAGAAAAATCCCCAGTCTGCTGGACGGACATATCAGAAACAGTGTTTTCGTCGTTGTCTTCTCACTACTAATACAACTAGAAGTTGTATGTAACTACTAATACAACTAGAAGCTGTATGTACTACTATAAATGCAACTAGAAGTTGTATGTACCTATAAACCAATTATACTCCACAAAATATTCTGATATGAGATTACTCGATGACACAGTAATAGTTCACATCTGTCCATTGTGCGTGTGCCTCGAGACCTTTCTCTCGTCTTCTTCAGGGTCTCTCTCTTGACTTTCGTCATAGTCTGAGTCCGGGTCACCCTCTTTCCATCCTTCCTTCATTGCAAAATACCTGCCAATGTCCTCCGGACCCCTCCTGCAGATCTCCATCGGTGGTTTGCGGAGTGGGTTCCCGTCGATGTTGGACGAGTGCTGCCGGTAGCCCCAGTCCAGGTTCTTCAGACGCCCGAAATGTTTCGGCAGCGTCGTCAGCTTGTTTTTCCCAAGCCACAAAGTTTTCAGAGTCTTCATCTTACAAATACTGTCTGGTAGACTCCTTATCTCGTTGAAGAAGAGAAGGAAAGTCTCCAGTTTTCCCATGTAAGACACCTCGGTGGGTAGAGCCGTTAACTTGTTGTCACTAACGTCCAGAAAGGTCAGACTTTCCAGGTAGCAGACTTCAAGAGGAAACTCCTCAAACAGGTTGTTAACAAGGTGGAGGCTTTGAAGGCTCTTCAGGTCTGAGAAATCCCGGGGTAGGGACTTCAGCCTGTTGTTACTGAGAGTAAGACGCTCCAGGTGCCGCAGGTTGCTCATTTCGGCCGGTACTTCTCTCAGCTCGTTCGTATCTAGAACCAGAACCTTAAGGTTCACTAGCCTTCCGATCTCCTTCGGTAGTTTCTCCAGTCGGTACAACAAGCACGACTGGCGCTCTGGGCTCAGCTCAAGAACTTCGAGCTCAGAGAGGTCAAACAGGTCATAGGGGAGGCCCCCGGACAAATCTTTTCCGACTAGCTTGAGCTTCTTCTTTCCCCCATTCTTCGGATCATTCTCAAGCCTCAGACGCAGGTGTCTTCGGTAAGACATCGTTCCGAGTGAAAGCGACTCTACCTGGGTGTTCACGTCCTCATCTACCGGTGCCGTGTATCGTCAACACAGTGGGTAGTAACAGGCAGTCACTGATCCGGATACTCACCTCACTTCTCAAGACGGCAGAAGTTGTCTTTAGACGACGTGTAGTTGAACTGTAGACATCTTAGAACAACTGCCTGTGTGTCCTGGGTGGCACTTGAGGTGGCAACTTTCCACTTAAGGGCGAAATTGCGTAGTAACGCGAGATAACACACACCGAGGAATTCCGGGTTAAATGCTGCGGCACTGATAACATGGCACACTGCAAATGGCGACGACCTCTCTTGTACGAACTAGGTAAATATTGCTGGAAAAACATTCACAAAGGACTAAACAAACAGGACTGACTGTATGCAAGAGGGTTGGCCGGGTCCGGTTACATAGCTTTGTTGCTAGCACTCCCGTCATGACGTTCTACAAGAAGAATTTTCTGTGGTTGAAAGGCAGTTGACTAGTCAGTACAAGCGATTATCCATCAACTAAGTCATTAACCATTCAACGAACCGCCGGCACCTGTCGCATAAGAGGATCACGGGACACTCGAGGGATTATGGGAAGGGTCGGAAGTAATAAATGTATCGTCATGACAGCTAAGTACTACACGTGGAATGGAGCACGGTCTATTACCTATGTCCGGACTAGTGGAGTAAACATGACAATATGCTAATGTGGAACAAAGTACGTAAGGTTGACAACATAATTTGATGCACGAGACAAGCACTGACAGGGCTAAGTACCTGCAATTACTTAAGATCACGTAAGCCTTATGTGCTTAATTGCAGGTACTCAGGTGACCTGTCCCCATGATGAACATGGTATCTCAATAACTGAGATCAAGTGATTTAGCTAATTAGAACCCAAATGACCATATTATGATGCAATGGCGACCTTTGTAATTTGTACCCAGTTGCCATTTACAAGTGAGCTGAAGTATGGAGACTGCGCACAAACGGACGCGATTATTACTGACGTAAATCTTTCAGAACTTCAATATTGACATTCATGCTTGCTTTTACGTCGACTAGCCGAATAGCTGATACTCATGTTGCAACCGTAGACGAACCTTCCGAAGGTTTTTTTCATCTATTAAAGCACATAAAAGAAAATTTTGTATTTGCTATTATCATGTGAGCGCTTGTAGCGTTAACGTTACGAGAGTTATGATATGTTCGACAAACGTGGTCTGCTACAAAGTCTTTTTGGTGTATTCTAATGCCTTTCTTGTGACACATAATATGAAATGGCATGACAGACACTCATACTAGTACATTGTAGTATTATAGCGCTTCCCGACTTCTATCTGAAACGTTAATGTAAAACCACAGCTATCCGCTAGAGAGCGCTGCTATATTTCCATTTCAAAACAAGAGGATTGTGGGAAGGCCTGCCAATGCGCATGTTGAAGTTTTGATCTATTTTTGCCGGGAGGTCTGTCTATGTGTGTCTGTCTTGTGTTAAAGCCCAACTGTCTAAATATTCCGCGTAATTTTAGCATTCCGAGTATGTAGAACGAAGGAGGACTTCTACAGGCGATGCTACCGGCAGGAACAGTCCAAATTTTCCGTTTCTCTCCGGCATTTTTAATCGCAGCTTACTTGACAACGGTCCGTTAAAAAGCTGAGGCATATCGGGTTCAGCGAAAGTCAGAAGAATACCTGAGGTTCAAGTTTACCAAGAACTTGAAGAATCTCGTCGTAGCCCGGTCACTGCCATGGGGGAGCTACAAGCGACAGTAGAGTTTTCTGTGGCGTTTGGGAAATTCTACAACGTCGATCTGTTCCAAAGAGGGTAGGCATTGTTTACATTTTATACTTTGTGACAAGTTGTGATGAATGGGGGAGGGGGGCGAGATTTTTATTGGTACCCTGAGACAAAAATTATGTATAATATTATGCGGTCATTTGCTTCGTCGAAAGGAATTTACTTTCTGCATCTAAACGTTTTCTTTGCATGTTTCAAAAGATATTCGTCCACCTATCGTTTAGGGAAGACAAAACAAGAACACCTTGTTTGAAACAAACAAATTATTGTAAAGGTAAAAGGCTGTATATAGTGTATCAACGATGTTTTGAAGTCTTGTCAACAAATTTTAGGCCAATACACATTTTAAGTTGTGTGATTAAATGCAGAAGTCATTAAGAACTGCCATGTGAATAATGTTTTTTACAGGTGCACACATCTGGTACTGTATTGTAAAACACTGATCTCATTTGAATTGCACAACACCTTTTGTTCACTGGGTGCCCCGTGCCAATAATACCAACGGTCGGTATTAACCTCAACAAACAAACCTCCTTGGTTAGTCTAGCTGGCAAGCTAGACTAGGTAAAGGCCCTTTCTGTAAGATATGTATGACAAAAGGTAGATATGTGTCCTATTGAGTGTTGTAAAAATTATCTATGTGTCAGTGTCACTTAAAAGTACATGCATACCTCATGAGTCAGGTAACGTTAAATATTATAAAGATATATATTTAATTGGTAGTTTTATGGAACTAGTATTAGAAACCAACAGTTCTGATAGCCCATTAAACTTGTGTCAGAAATATTTGTCCCAGTTTTTGCTGATGTCAACAAAATTATATCAAGATTTGAGATGATTGAAGACAGTACACAAACTCAAGAGTAGTGCAGTTGTTACTGTTGACATTCATTCTATTGCACACCCTGTGATATTATAATAGTTCTTTTAACAGTAACACACTTCTTACTGTTGTAAAATGTAAAAAAAAAAGACATTCAATATATTTCATTGAAATATGAGCAATTAAAAATTAAAAATTGCTCATGTTTGGGACTGGAGGAAACAACATTTTGATAATTTCTTTAGATTGGCAAGAGACTCTTTAGTTCTTTAATTTATTCCAGAACCAGTGGATTTTCTGATGTTGCTGTGACTGTCTGTTGCTTTGAAGAAGGTGACAGACAGTCACTGAAACGTTGGATGTGAAAACTCACTGGTTGTTGAACATTAAAAGAACTTTCTTTTACAGGAAACAGGGTTGCATCATGAATCAATGTGTCAGGAGAAATGAGGCTCAGAGAACGATTACTGATTCATAGTCTGCAGACTTCTATAATTTGCCAGGAGAGTGCTACCAGTGGGATATACTGGCGGCATTTCACATCCACTCATTATAACATCATGATGGGAAATTCTCTCTTGATATTGTAATTGTTACATTTAATCTCAGCAAGGACGTTATATCAAGCTCCTTGATCACAGGGAGCACCAGATTAAGTATGAGCATAATGAGCCCATTAATGAGCACTTAACGAGGTAATATCGCTAGATGAATACATGCACTAAAAGCTGTTTCCAGATGAAAGGGTTATGCTCACCCCAGGGTTCGGGTCAAGTTTACTGTGATTCATGTAGGTCGTGAACAGTCATGTTACATGTGTGCAGCTGGCCCTGCAGTTGTTCCATAACCCTGACACAGTGACATGCCATAACCAGTGTGTCAGCAAGCTGGTGGTGGAGATCTGTTTTGCTATGTTCCAACAAAATTAGTCACTGTGATATGTTGATTAGGGCCTCTACCTAATTTCTCAGCCCATATTAATTCCTATGTCCTGTGATCTGATTCCAAAACATGCCCATATTTGTGTCTTTTCATTTTATTATTGATCATCTCCTTTGGCAGGAACATTTCTCATGTAGGCTAGTGGATAACTGGAGTTACCTTTGATCATTGTGATTGCAATGAACTTGACTCTAACCTTCAGCAATGCTGACAAACTTTGCTTGACTACATCTTGCTCAGCCCCATGAACACACTTCTATGTAATCATGTGCAATCTTGACAAAATTGCCCTATATCATAAGAGGTCTAAATTGAAGAGCCCAGAACCGCCTCTTCTATCATAATGGTATCATTAAACCATCTACGCTGGACTATATGATTGCCCACTTGACATTTGTTGCCTGTAGTGTGCCATGCGCCTGATATACATGTAACATGTTTTCTAAGAACCCTGTCAGTACAACAATGATACCTATGATTAGCACTGAATATGGGTCTAATTGAGGTCATGTCTTTCCCAATGTAGCTCTTCAACTGTGGGTAAGTAGCCAGATTGCCTTAGCCCGGCTTAGGTACAGTGACAGTCATGTGGGGATGTTATGGGTGGATTATATATATATGAGATATATACAGTGTCCTCAGTACCTATATACAGGTGGGCATGATGACTGGCTCTAAAATACATGCTTCTGATGGTGTCAGAACTGAATATATCTGTGGATATTCCATTATTATCAAAAGAAGAAAGTATTACAATGTACAAGGGCTCACATACTAATTTTGCTCATCACAATGGACAGCAGCTTGATCAGTTGGAAGAAGTGTGGATGGAAAAAAACAACAAAAGTTTGTGTAGGCAGTTTGAACGGTGGTTATAAGAAATGACCAGGCTTTATGACACCATATACACCAGGCCTTATGACACTGTATACATACTTAACCCTTAAGTACCATTCGAAGAAACAGCCACTACTTGAACCTTGCCTAGTTGCAGGTTAGAAGTTTGTGCCACATTGTTCCCAGCCAGGGATTGTGTTGTTGATTAGACAGGTGCTATATTTAGAACAGGGAAACCCAGGGAGGGTGATCATGAGCAGATGACCTGACAGACAGGTCACAGGTGATGACTGGAACATGTCTGCCAGATACATCTAAGATCATGCCCAACATCTAAGATCTAACTGCAAGAAGATTACTGGTACTTTTGTGGATGTCACTTGAAACGTCTGGAAATTATCCTCCGTAATTCATCCAGTAGAAGAGTTTGAATTTCCTATGAGTAACTACAGGTATAGGTTATTTTATTGACAACCAACCAATTATTATTTTTTTTCTATTTGCTGATCTCTGCATAGCGTTCGTTTGTAACAATTATATCTGGGGAGAAGGCTATAAGACAGACCTTGATAATGATAGATACATGTGTACTTAGGGAGACATCCTATTTTTCTCATTCTGAGGACATAATAACAGTAAAAGCACTAATGAGTAGGTATGTAATGATTTTATTGTACTCTGATGTATCCTTAAAGTTCTAATGTAGGGTTCCATGTAGGGTTGATTACAGGTTACCTCCATATAACTTGATGATGGGTACTTATGTTTGATTTAGACTTCAACCTAAAACATCTTACATGTACATGACAAGACTTTGGGCTTTTTCTGTTGCCTGACTACCCAGGCCAGGTGTGGCCCCTTGCTCCATGTAATTATGGATCCAGATATCTGGTATTTTCAACATTGATATCTTGGAGAAAACCGTCTAAATTAGAATGGTTTTTACAAACTGTATGTTGTACATGTATAAAATGAAAGCAGATGAGCCATTTGTGTAGTGTACAAATTATAAGCATTCTGTGACATTTGAATTATGGGGAGGTTCACTGGATTAATTGCAGTCTTCAATTTTTTTATCATGTAGAATTGGCAATTACCTAGCATGGGATGCTGCAGAAAGTAGTTAGGGATACAACATTTATTTTCAGAGTCAATAAAAATGTGTCCTTCCCATCAATTCTTGCTGCATCTTTGGTTAATTGGGACACTTAAGGTTGAGGGGCCATCTGGGATAGTTCTGAACTTTATAAAGATACTCACTGTGACACATACTATTAGCCACCAGATTGTCAAATGTTTTTGTGATTTCATTGGTAGTAGATACACTGGGCAATTTTTCTTAATTTTCATGTTGTTATATGATCACAGCTCCATGAGTCAGAATATCTGGCATTGTAATACTACCACCATGTAGAACCCCAGTCCCTCTGAGAGCTCTGTCAGCCTGGGCCTGACCTGGGGTAATATGACATGTCTGCTGTATTCTTTCATATGACAGACTGAATTATGAGCATGCAGAAAATCTATGACTGCAGGTCAGGAGTACTGAGTTACATTAAACTGTAATTCTAGTAGTAGCAGTAATATATTACTTGCTGCATGAAGCTGTAAAAACTGATACTTTTATCATAGAGTACTGGTAAAGTTCTTAATCTTGTGTTCAAGCAACTTCAAATGTGAATTGTACATGAAAGCATCACACTCTTGTCTTAGCCTTATTTTCTCCTAACCCACGTACTGTCATCCCAGGGACCTCCCTAAACAATGGAGCAGTGGAGCTCCTCCACCCAGTCCTTATCTCAGCTCCACCCTGTTAATTTTCAAAACTAGTGTTTTTACACCCTTTTCCAGGGTTCTTTGGTCAAATTTACCGATATTTCGCACCCTCCTCCATTCTGTCCTAAATTTCTGGGGAGATCCCTGCATCCAGTTAGTTGTTTTAATTTCCCCGCAGGTTCTCATTCCCATCTCAACACCTAACCAACTGTCACTGCTTCCCGTTATCCTTTTCCCCTGGTTATCATTGAGATGGGAAAGATTTGTATCATTATCTCTGTCTTATGTGAAAGTTGTGTCACAATTCTCTCATAATGAGCACTTCAAAGTGGGGAGCTTTGGGGAGAGGAGGAAAACAGTTCTAATTGCTTTTCTTTTGCAGGGATCACCCTAGGCCTGAGGCACAAGTCCTGCAATTTAAAAATCAATTAGAACTGTTTTCCTCCTATTTCCAAAGCTCCCATCTCAAGTACTTATACAAAAAGAGATATGGGGACAATATCAAAAGTATTTGATATACAAACTGGTGAGCTGAGATGAAATCTTCATATGTGTAATAGAGAAAGAATTTTAGGTTCCATTGATAGAGATTTGTGTCGTCAAAGTACTGAAGTGCTGTTTAGTGGACCATGTTACTGTTTCTAGTGTTCCTTTTAGCGGCCATAAATAAGTCATTGCTATTCCTCTAGCAGCCAACAGAGCAATGTCACGGGTAGTTGGTTAATAGAATTGTTCCTTTGATAAGAACCTTAAGAGCTGTAAGCGCCTATCCCCATGAAATGAAATGTACTTTGAAGTTGAAAATTTGACATTTTGAGCTGGAATTTATTCTTTTGATGCAGGCAGTTCATTTTCTTTGCCATGCATAAGTCATAGCCGTCTTCTACTAGAAGTTCTAGCTGCCAACATATCAATGTCAGGGGCACTTGATGACTAGAATTGTTCCTTTGTTTTATCAGCTGGTGTGCTTTCCAGACATGAATGTGGCACCCAGCAATGTGCACCACTCCTGACAGCTGACTGCCACACCCGCAAGGGGGACACTGTCGTCATTAGTCCATACTTGATGCATTTGAAATAGCCCCCAAAAAGCTATGTGAGAAGTCCATTTATTTTTTGGTACCACCAATAAATAGCTAGAATCAGCCAACGATCTGAAACCAGCAACCATTTTCTGTCAGCGACATTGCATTTGGGCCTTACAGATATCATTGATTCTAGCCTGGGTACCATCCGGATTTTGCTCCCCTACTAGAATTTTTTCTAGTGTAGCAGAACAAAATCCGGATGGTACCCAGGCTAGGTTTATTCAACTTCCTACGTTAAAGGAAAGGCCAGAAAATTGCTATAGATCGAGATACAGAAATTGAGGGCATATTAGTACAGTTGCGGATGGATTGTACAAAAGTCAAGTCTTGTGACAGAAAAGGTTGAAAGGAAAGATCGTTGTAGACAGTTTTTTGTTATACCCATTTGAAAATTTGGAACAAAATGCCTTTCCACTTTATACTGGTTACTTATTTCTTTACAGGTGCTCCAAGTCTGTCTTTATCCCATCTCTCTTTTTTCGATTTTTGGTACGTTGTTGATTTTATCTGCAGTATCCATGATAAGTGCTGTACTATTCAACAGTTAAAAAAATGCCGGTATTCTTTGAGTTGTGCATGTTGTTGATTCAGCATCACTTACTTCTGCTATGGATGATGTATAGGTGCAGACTAACGGAATGGCCTTCGCAGCCATTTCATAAAAAATTAATAGCTTTATAGAGTCTTGTGATAGCAATCTTTATGACATCAATCTCAGATTTTAGGGTACCCTATGGGTGATACCGGTGCCAAATGTACCCTGTTCAATGTTTATGTTGTCCCTCCATATATGTACTTATCTACTAACATGTTAGGAGAATAAATGTTGATGGAGAAACACAATCTACATGTATCTTGGGAGTTGTACCAATTGATTTTAATCTTGTATCAGCCTGTTAGTTACAGCGCTTGACTGTTTCATTAATTCCTTACTAAATATTTTATTCAAAGTGTCAGGAAGAAATGCCCCCTTCAACCTGCTACAGAAGCATACTCCACGTCCACCAGTGTCTTTCCTAACTTTGTAATGTCAGGATACTTTTAATTGTATTTCAAACCTTTTGCATTGAAATAAAACCTACAAACCTATGATATGAATCAGTCTGGACTCTGGAATAATTTCTACATTTGTAGGATGCAGTCGCTAAAATGGAAGTACATGAGGTATTGTACTCAGTTTTTATGACTGCAGCATACATAGATTGTATACCTCTGGGTGTGCTGTTGAGTAATGGGCATCTGGCTTTACTTCAACAGTGACCTTGCTTGGTGTAGCCGCAGGCTCAAACCAGAAACTCACTGTGAAATTATGAGCTATGTGCAGGTTTCCTGAAGGTCAGGGGTGATAGTAGAGGAGCCACACTGTAAAATTGTAACAGCTTTTTGCTTCCCAAGTCTAGGACAGAGAAATTAGTTTTCCAGCCTTGCCCAGTGAACTTGAAGAAAGCAAGAGCTAGGAAATTGAATTCAAAGTACAATATGAAGGTACATGTAGAATACATTGCCAGGACAAACATCTTTTTTTAGATAAATTTTTGAAAGGAATAGTCATCTGTCATCATTGGCAAGAACCAATGCCTGCTAGACATGGGTGACCTACAGTGTGACCTTCTGTCAAAGTTAACTTTCCTGTTGTCTACATCAAACAGCATGTTTGTTATACCCAAGGGAGAATACATGTATCTATGCACAAATATCTGCGGCTGTCATCTTGATGGATGGGATAGAAAAGAGTCTTTTGTCTCAATTTGGTTTATTACCTTTGTATATTTTGTAGACGAAGTTTAATATAAAATGGGAATCATGGGAGATTAGGTGGGTTGTATATTAAGTACATCTGACAGTGCAGTAGCCTGTAGCTATACATCACATCTGTGCATGCATACACACTACATTAAACCTGAAAGATTTACCCAGTGTTTTGGGAGGCAATAGCTTGCTGAATTACAATTTATAATGATTAATAACATAGAACAGCAGAATCTAATCTTGTCCCAGGGTGGTTCATAATTACATAACATGTGATCATAGGTCTGGAATGCGTTCTTTTGAGATAAGCAAAGTTCTCATACAACTGTGAAACTTTTTTGTGAATTTTGTGTTTTCTTTATTATCGTGAAATTCTTAGTATCTTACTGATCCTGTACATGCAAAATTTCCAATTAGCTATTGTGAGGCAACAGACATGCATATATATAAACATGCAGCAGGAATTTGAAGATAGGAAAAAAATTTTCTGGGACCTTTCTGGAACATTTGACTTTACTTCTAGTCAGCATCCCTATGAAACACAAGGAAACATGTATCCTGAAAAACAAAACTGAAGTACAGTAAGCCATGGCCCTCAGTTTTAACATGGACTAAGAGATTCAGTCCCCTTTTTACTGGAGTTGTCATACAAGTATATACATAATCACCTTTCATGACAGGTTGGAAGGGATGCTGAGGTATGAATGTGTGACAGGGAGAGACATTACACCCAGGGCACACTCACATCATGAGCCACACCTGATTTATTCACCACAGCCGTCTATTGGTTTGAGCACAGGATACAAATTATCATCATTGACTCTCGTTTCATAGGGACGGGAGTAAGTTGTTGTTGCCTCGGCAAGACTTCCTCAGATTTGTTCCTTGCAGAAGTTTATGTAGATAGTTACATATCTAAGAACATAACCTTCTTGGCGAAGGTAATGATGGTACAGATTATTCTGTCTTATGAGTGATAGGAACGTGATATGAAAAAGAAAAAACAAATTGAATGTGAATATTAACCAGTAGTGTGATTGGTTGTTATTTGTGAAGTGGACAAAAATCTGTTAAAGTTGATAATTAAGATTCTGCAGTATGATGTGAATTATTGATAGTCCCTGGATGATGATGATGATGATAGTCCCTGCAGGCCTGCACGCCTTGCTTTTATCTTGTATCATATTAATGAAAAATAGTGTGCCACTTTTACAAATACAGGTATGACTCAGATGTAGATTTTTTAAGTGCACACATATACATAGGTACGTTGCACAACAAATGTGCAACGTATCCTTCCTCTTTGCCTTAAGCCATACAGAATTATAGGTCACCAGATGTTGATTTTCTAAGTGCACACATATACGTTGCACAACAAATGTGCAACTTACTAGTATTCTTCCTCTTTGCCTTAAGCCATACAGAATTATAGGTCACCCCAAATTTGATTTTGTACAGAGCTATAAATACATCGGATGGAAATTGCTTTTGAATCAGATTTCGAGTGCTTTTGATATATTAATGCCATGACATTATAAAAGAAATTAAACCTGGCATGGATATAAGATGACGGTGGATTATACTGCAGATTGGCAACTCAAAAGAAGTTGCTGAAACTGTATATGACAAACCTATGTGCTATTGGCAGTGTGATCTTGACTAATTGCAAAAATATTACCTGTATGATGAACTGTATTCAACTTGAGATAGTAAAACAGACAGTTTTTACATTGTCAAGATATGTGCTGAAGAAAGTAAAGAACAAAATATTACCAAATGTTACCATTTTTCATGCTTCAGAATCTGTTGTTGAATTCTATTGTAGGTTATAAAGTACTTTTATGTAACATGATATCTACCTATACTGTCTTTCTATATCTATATACATTGTATCTATAAAGCTCATAGTCATTTAGTGTAGCCATGAGAATATTTCAAGGACATTCATAGAAACTGCTCCATTATTCAGAAAACTACATTTGTAAGTGCTACACCGTGTGCAGTATACCATAGTAATCCTCAAAAGTGTGATGTATAATCACGCAGTCACTTCAGTAATAATTCAGCTGAGTGCCCATTCAAATCACACCAGTCTTCCTTTCCATTTCCAGATTACAAGGTATCAAAAAACATATAGTGACTAGGCTATTGAAGGCTTGAAATATTTTTTTTCTGTTTTCTGCAAATGTTGTTCATAAATTACCAAGCCTGTATTCTTTGGGCTGCCAAAGTGCTTGTAACTGGCAAGTTGTTTGTAATTTCTTTAAACATTTCTCTGCAATGTGCAATGTCATATTATATAAACGCAGTCATATGAAATACCAGAATTGAAATGAAGATGGCTTGGTGCTTGTGTGTGTTATAATTGCAGAAGACCTTATAAAAATACCTGAAATTTTGTTCTGTCAATAAAGTATAATTACTGTCCTCCACACATCCTGCTTATACAATGGACTAGTATTTACACAATGTGTATCTCTAGATACAAACTATGCACCTGTCAATTACAGACTGATAGACAACAGATGAAGTGTAGATGAAAGAAATCATACACGTACATGTAAATAACAGTGTGGCATGTATTTCTATAGTTACACTAAAAGCTGTAAGTATTCTCTATATAACCTGTATACCTTTGTCTCCCCAGGTTCTACCATGTACGAGCCTACTTCAAGCCTCCCCTCAGACCCCCCATGAAGACGGAGGCTCATCTGGCTGACTCATCAGGTAAAAATAATTTTTTTGGTGAAACCTTTTGCTTTTTTCCAGAACCCCCCTGCAACATGTGGAATGGTATCTTAATCTTTTAAAATTAAAGATGGATTTAGGGTAACTGTAGTTACAAATTACTTATTCATCAGCCTAGAAGTGTTGGTGCTAGATATTATCAGAACTGCCAATTGGTTAGCTGTAGAATTTCCATACATCACCCAGGCACTGCAAACTGTGTCCTGTCATCAGGTGGGTAAAAACAATCATTCAGTCAGGAAATGGGCACTGTGTGTGTTTTAGATAAAAGCAGTGCAAAAGCTTCAGGCTGCACAAATTACATTCCTTTGCCCTTGGACATGATAAAAGAAGGATGCTGGTAGAATGGTGATTTGGTCTTGGTCTTGCAATCGCTGATATTGGCTAGGTGCTGCGGCAGGGTGTATTGATTGTTCTACGACAGGGGTTGGGATGAAGAAAATCCCCAGAATTTCGAAGTCTCCCACACTTCTGTCTTCAGCAAAATACCAGTCCATTACTTTCTTTCTCAGTAAGACACCCTCCATCTTATCATCTTCTCACAGTTGCCTTGTTCCAATTTTCTTAGATTTTATTGTCCTGCTAGCTAAAGGTTCCCCTCAAGCTCTGTCTGCATGTCTTTCTGCAACTTGTGAGAACTTGAAGTCATGGTTGCAGAACCATGTTATTGTGTTGGTTGGGCCTTATTGAGAAGCTTACTCCAGTATGAGAACTTGGAGACTTACAGATGGAGGAGGCGTTCACTTAGTGTTGGTTCATCCATCATCCTGCGTTCCCTGATCTACGCCTCCTGAAGGCAACAAGCAATATTTGCTTAACACAGGGGAGATACTAATGGGAACTGTCTGAAGTTCTGAGTAACTGGTTCACCACTTGAAACCCTCCTGTCTAGAGTTGGCATCAAAGAAATCAGATAGATAGGCCCAAAGGAACTATCTGCCCTACAATGTATATGTATGCTGTACGGTTTTGCTATGGCTCAGAATTCTTAAAATGACATATCCTTGACATCATTGAACTTGGTGTTTAAGATGATCTGCCTGCATCAAACTATCAATGAATTATAGATGAACACTTCACGAGAGAGTAACATTTATTGCTTCAGTACATGTAGATATTGGGTACAGTAAAAAATGATACGCGCTACCATTGAATTGAAAATTTTATGAACTAAGCAAAGTTTATGAACTGAGTTTATGATAAATTTGAAACTAACTGTTGTAATGGCTATTGTAACAGATCTTTGCATCAGGTGTTCTAGATTTAATCTTAACATTCATTTTGAAGGTTACGGAATCCCGAACGTAGTATGTACATTTTGTATATAGTATACTCAATTTCATAACGGCCCATGCACAAGAACCTCCCACTCAATACATGTACATGTACTATACAGCATATCCATTAATGTGGCAGCATGAATGGGTGCAGGATTGAACAGGATGAGTGATGAGGCCCAGTTGTGAATAACCTAGATGCAAAGTATGCGGCAGGGTCATCGACCTGGGACCTGGCTTGAATGTTGATGGACAGATCCTGTAAACATAAGTGTGGTGTATCCAGGATAAACCCAAACACCCATCTTGAATAGCCAGTAAAAGCTTCACAGAGCCCAGATTTACAACACATGTAAAGCCGGTACAATGTCCCCGTGAAGACGGGTTGGAATTTGCTCATCTACTGTGAGCACTTCTCCTCCCCTGCTATTGATTTCTTCAAGTGTACCTACACAGGGAGGGAGTGTGCTCATCCAGCATATGTAATCACCATGACTGCAGGGAGAAGTAGCCATTTCCATCCGTCACACCTTGTTAGGTTTCACCCTGACCTCTCTTTAAACCGTGGAAATGAAGAAAAACGTTTTCAAATTGGTTCTTTGTGATTTCTCTGTACCGTGTGATAATCGTACGTGCTAACCTTTTCAAATATGATATTGGGAGATTTTAGTGTTGGTGATATAAAGGTTTACATGTAGGAGTGAGTGCATGTACAAGTGGATGACCTTGAATGTGAGATTAGATGGAATGAGGTTGATGTTATCGTTGTAATGTTTTCTGTAAGCAATAATTATTCTAGATTTATGATTTTTGCTGGTGCCTTTGCAGGATATGAACATGTGTATTCAGCGCAGGTTAAGGAGGTTACGACGGGTATCAGTAAAACCTTCCAGATCCTGTACAAGAACGAGGAGGTCACGGTCAACGATATCTTCCTCTTCAAAGTACACGTACTGGTGGACTCAGATAAGGTGTGTACAAAACATGACAAAACATGACATTTCCAGATTCATCAATCCAGAATCTCTCTCTCTCTCTATCCGATTTATCGTCTGTTGTTCCCCGTAACAAGGGTTAGACGTGCTGGGGCTTGAATGCCATTTGCCTCTGTCCTGTGTTTCTTGGGCACAGCAAATGTTTATGTTTATATATATATCTTTATAAAATGTTTATATAAATATATTGTTCCTGTGAACTATTGCAAGGTGTAAAATGCTGTCATCAAATATGGTAGGAGCCTCTTTATCGTCTGCTTTAAATGGCAGTTAATTTTAAACATGGATGGTTTAGATGTGATAGGTCAGTTGTTCCCCGTCTTCCGTCGCCAAGGCATCCCTAAGCTGAAGCGTTATTGAATGGTTGATCCATTTAGATTTCCTTCAATATAGATACAGGTATTTTGATCATGGTTATTTCTGAGATATTTCCCATGAAGAAGATGATTACAAGCACTCCCACTCACCACTGGCACAATAGCTCCTGATTGCTCAGAACAGCTGTATTGTAAGACTCAGACAATGTGGACAAATTCTGAAGATCCTGTTCATCATGATTGAAAAATTTGCCTATTCATTAAGAGGTATATACTATATTGAGAAAATTTCTGATGTCACTCAGGGAAATGCCCCAGTTTCTGCATAGCAATTGAATATGATCATGATTGGTACTTTTCACATAGGCAGGCTGTTATTTTTAAGCTCCTTTGACAGAAATTGTGTTTAGAAGCTCCCCCATAAGGTTACAAGAGGTAGTGCAGGTTTGCATAGGTACATGATAGAGGTCTTAATTTATGATGACAACCTAACCCTTCATATCATATACTGTGTCCCGGAAGGGAGGCAGACACATTCTATAGATAGGTCTTGCCTTTATAGCATTGAATCACGGGATTCCACTTCAATTCTTGAAGAAAACATGGTATGAAAAAACAACTAATAAAGTACTTCTTTTCCCAGATTGAGGACACAGTCGATTCAGCTGCTTTCCAACTGGTTTTAGACCTGTGTTTCTCTGAAGAGAGGTAAGGAAACCAAATCAAATGATGTATTATGTAGTACAAAATATTTCTAGATAATTTGTATCTCATAAGTATCTCCACATTTGTAGAAAAGACTTGCCGCTCTTTTCTATTTTTACAGTAAATACCAATATTTCTGTTTTATATATGTTTGTTTTCATACAACATGATATTGAGAGCCTAGCACCTCTGTAACGTAATGCTATAAACCCTAGATTGTGGAAAGATTTAAACTAATTAAAGGTGGTGTTAAAACCTATTATATCTTCCCATCACGTCTCCCTGGCAGTGCTGATAATGCAGACAGCCTGCAGGTGGTGAGCAGCAGGGTGCTGAAGCTCCACCTATGTGCCAACAAGGGACTGCACCACCATGCTGTGGTCATGTTCGACTACTTCCACCTGTGTGCCATGGAGGTCACTGTCCATGGATGTCTGGTTACTTTGCACCAGCCCATCATGAAGTAAGGGGAAACCCATCTTTGATTATTTGTACTGGCATTATTATGTATCTTACTTAAAATGGCTTGTTTTTTCCTATCATTTTTCTAGTATACCGGTATCATGAATCATATACTGTGGTAGGGTCACCATGACTCAGTCATAAGCCCATCAACCTTTACACTAACTTTTAAAGCTTTTATCAGTAACAAAAAAATGTAACCTGTTATGGTAGACTTTCATGACACACATATTTTACATTTCTTAACGGCATGCTATATGTATCATCAGCTGTCAGGTTATATATTGTCAACAATGAAAAAGCCATCCCATAAATGTTGTTATCCAAGTTCTACATAGGTGTAGAGATAGATTCAAAACCTTTTGGATGTACTTTCCTATGCTGTCTTGAAAGTTCAGTTTAGGTGAAATTTGTCTTATACCCTGTAAATGCCTTCAATTTCTGGATGAATGATTGACATAGATGGAACAAAAAAGAGAGACTTAATATGAAAATGAGTGAATCAGCATGATTGATATGAAAACATAATATGTATTTTCCTAACCTTCTCTTTCCAAACCACCTCCTTTCGACACTGCTTGTGCACACTGCAGAATGCGGTAAGAACTTGTTTCATTGGTGCATGCAATATGTGCATGAAAGCATATGTGCATGAAAGCATTATGTGCATGAAAGCATTTTGTGCATGAAAGCATTTTGTTGGCTTTCAAGAAAACTACATTGTAATGCTTGTAAAGAAACTGTTGATAAATAAACTTTTTGCACTTTCTTCAGTATTCCAAAGACAGCCAAGTCCGGCTGGTTGAAGGGTCAGTCAGCAGGCAACAAACTCCCTCTGGTGTCCCTGGAGTCGATACTGTTTGGAGCCGTCAACATGAACAAAGCCATCATGCCGGTAAGGATGCAGATTTTCATGTTCTTTGTCGACTCTTTGTTTTCGGGACTATTTTACATCATGAAGACTTCCTCTATAATGTGAACCAATTGCAAGCTTCCCAATTTGGTATGTGATAATGTCTATGATGCAGACCTTCTGTAACACAGTTGATTGGACATATGTAATGGGTATGTCAGGTGAAACAGCCAGCAGGTAGTCAGCAGGACGTTTTCACAGCCAGCTTTGGTGGCCAGCTTTGCAAGCACTGAAAGTAACCTTTCTGAACATGCTCCTTTGTTGCTGCAGGGCCCTAAGGGTATTGCTGAGGCGATGGCCCAGGCAAGGGAGACACACAGACAGATGTGTGCTGCCCTCCTGTCCTCGTACGCTGGTCTGCAGGAGGTCTACCAGGAACTGTTGGGGAAGACACCTGATAAGTACCTGTTCAGATTAGGTACGTAACAAGTAGGACTTGCACACTTACATACTGTTACTGGTAGTCTACAATGCAGACAAGTCTCAAGATACCTTTTAGTACTTCATCAGATCTTTTTCTTGAGCAAACATCTCAGCCTTGTTGACATGTTAGCATGTTTCTTCTGAACAATTGCAACTCACTGTTCGGTTTATTGCCTTGTTGCCACTGTACTGGTATTGCAACTTTGTCTCTGTTACTGTTGCAGAGGTCACAGACACAGACTCCAGGCTGGAGACCTTATGTGAAGCCATGAAGGTGAGAGTAAACCCCTCATAACAGACTTTGTAATTAGTTTTGTTCTTTACCTCCTTTATTTCAAGTGGTGCTTTTTTTTTTTAGCTTTTATACTAAAAATATGAAGTCCATGAGTCCCTGTCCCCGCAAAAGTATCTTTTTGGCACCAGATTTGTATTGGTTACAGAGTTAGACAGTAGGGAGAAAGTTAGGAATTGAAGTGCTGTAATGTTTCCTGATGTTTCCCCAGATTGTGAAGACCCAGGATGAGGCTATCCAGACGGTGACGTCCCACCTGACCCAGCTGTGTGCAGACCTGTGTGCCCTGTGGACACAGTTCCTGGACATGGTCACCACCAGTACACCCATAGCACAGTACCTGTCAGACAACAACCACCAGACACGGGTACACAGCTTAACACACTGTTGTGTTAGTGTAGAATAGCACAGCAATATAAAGTGTTAAAGCCCTGCCTGCCTACTGCCTATATGCACAGGCCATGACCTGTGTTTTGTCTTTTTCATATAAGGTAGCAACTTGTGATTGCTCTGTAGAAATGTTCCATGTTGCAAGCTATGGTCCCTTTTTTTGTCTAAAGTCAGTACCATCAGCTGTGTCATCTATAGTCAGAAGAATCTATGCATTTCTGTCAGTTTTAGGAATGGGGACGTTGGTCATTTGGACTTGTTTTTCACATGAGCTGTATTTACAGGTCCAGAGGTTCTGTGAAGCATTCTTTACGGTAGACAACCCCAGGCAGAGTGCACTAGTGTACAGCGAGAACAGGTCAGTAGCAGTGGGTTAACAGCAGCTTACCAGTATATATGGCATTCCACAAACAATAATCGCCATGATATCCTGAGAGAGAAAGTATTTTTAATCAGAAAAGTGTGTGCAGCATGTCCTTTAAGGCACATTTTACATGTATGGTGTATTAATTGTGGACAACAATGAGAACAACCTGCATGCTGCAGTAACAGTCAAATAAAGTAGAATAGATTAGAGAAAAGTAGCTACTAGTATACCTTGTCCAGATGGTCCTGACATCATGTAAATGTAACATTCCTCTTTGTCTACCAACTCCTGTGCAGCCCCCAGGGCCATGCCCACATCGGTGCCATGGTGAGGAACTCCTGCTACTTCGCCACCCTCCCGCCTGTCCCTGTGGAGTGTGCTGAGACAGACGGAGATGCCACCACCCTGCCCATCATCTTCGAGGACAGATATGTGGCAAATGTCAAGGAAGGTAAAAGTTGTTGGTTTTAGTTTTTCTTTTAATGCCCACAATCATGCTAATGATCATTCTGGCATAGTGAAGTAAGCGAAGTCGTGTAAAGTGCCTTTGCCAAGGGCACAAGGTTGGTGACATGGCAGGACTTTCAACCCGGGACCTCTTGGTTCTGAACTGAATGCTCTGCCATTATGCCACACAACCCAATGCATGTTGCAATCCTTTAAATCTTTTTTAGAAAGAAACCAGATTAGAACATACTGGTAGTTCTACATTTGTAACTAAGAATGTCAATGTACTGCAGTCAAGTTTTACGTTTACGAACATGTACCTTTTCTTAAACCAGAGTTCTGATCACTGTTCCTGCAGTTCCTTCCATGGACCTGTCAGATGTCAGCACAGCTGGGGATGAAAACAAAAGCCAGAGGAGATCTTCTCTCCCCTTCAGCAGGAAAGACAACAAAAGGTCATCCAAAAGACAAGAAAAGTGGTTCCTCTTCCTCTCTCAACAGATCAGAGTCACAGGGTAGCAAAGACGGGGACAGCACAGGGGCGAAGGCTAAGCGGAGAGGTTCAAAGGGCAGGTTAAAGTTTGGGTCTAAGACCAGTCAGTTCATCAAGAACATGAAGCCAGAGTCCCTGAAAAGACCATCCCAGAGTGCAGGGTTGGATCCTGTGGTGCCGCTGGGGTACAGGCAGCTAGAGAAGTCCATGAACAAGAACAAGGCTGAGCCTGAGACCGTTGGTTCAAGTTCTGACGAGGAGACAAAACTGAAACGTAGGTCTGAACCCATCCCCATGCAGCTGCTCACAAATACTGGGTCTAAGAACAACACATCCTCTCTACCAGACATTGTCACGTTGGAGGTCTTGAGTGCAGACTCAGGGCCCCAGCCTGCCAAGTTTGCCTGGAGCGAGACCAACGTGGCAGATACGACCAGAGAAACCTCCTTTACAGACGCCAGGCAGGGTATGGTCAAGCAATGCAGCTTAGACAGTTCATTACCCAGTGGTAAACCCAGCTTTCTTCTGAAGCAAGGTAGTTTAGATAGTTCTGTTTCTCTGAAGAGAGAAGTTGTACATAACGTTGTGGTAGAGGAAGTTGTAGACAAGCAGGAGGACATGCCGATTTCCAGTCGAACAGAACCAGATGGAGCTGGTTCCACGCCGTCAGGCTCGAACCAGTCGGTCTCTGACTCTGTTTCCTGTGAAACGGGCTCCAACAAGCCGAGTGTGGGTTCCCTCCAGTCAGGACTGAGCCAGGAAGGGTCGGACCAGGCAGAGGTTCCCACAGATGTGGCAGGTGCAGAGGCGAAGGGTGCTGCTCCTGTTGAGAACAAAAAAGAGGAGGTTGTCAGGCCAAACAAGTCTCCAAGGAAGAGTCCCAAGTTTGGCCAGCTGCACGGCAGGCTTGGTGGACAGGCGGCGTATGCCAGCTGGACTAACCTCGTCAGCGATGAGGATGGTTTGATTGACATGGAGATTTGGGATGATGATGATGATGATGAGCACAGTGAGATGAGCTCAGAAGGCGACAGCACATGTCTGAAATCAGCAGAACCTGCGTCAAATCAAGGGCTGGTAGAGACAGAATCAAGTGATCAATCAGGGAGCAAAAATCATGACATGTTAGAAAAACAGTCCATTTCATTGGAGTCAAGTCCAAAGAGTAGTGGAAATGGAGATGTAGATGTGAGAATGAGAAAGACTAGTCTCGAGCATAGAGAAGCCATGAGACTGGACAGACCAATCAAATGTCAAAGTTGGCTTGATATAGTCGACCTTGGGGTGACATTGGTCGATATGGGATCAGTAGACGACATACCAAATTTGGGCGATTCTCAGAATGGCAGCGAGGCAGAGAAACCTGTAGGTCTTGACACGTCTTGGAGTGCGACAGAGACGGTGGACAGTGGCATCTCAGAGAGTCTGGAGGGAAAGGACTCTCCAGGGGGAGATGCCAACCAACTCTTTGAGAGACTGTTGCAGCCCACCCCGCATGCAGTGGAGAATGGGCACGACCCAGGCGAGGAAAGGAGACCTTCCCTCTCAGACGACATTTTTCGTCAGTCCATAGAGAGTGCTGTGCATTCATTCTTAGAGAGCGATCTCATTCAAGCCATAAGTTTAGCAATAGGAGATGAGGAAGGGGATGACTTGGGTGCTTTTGACCAGGACTCGTCCAACTCTAACGAACAGTATGGAGCCTGTGCGGCGGAGGAAGGGACTTTTGATGAGGTCCGTACTGAATGCAAGACCATCACCACCTTCGATGGTCCTGGAGGTCAAGTACGCTCAGAAAAGGTCACGACCTTTGACACTGCTGGTGCCGGGCCGCCCCAGCCAAGCTGGTCCCAAGAACAGCTTCTAACAGAGTCCAGACTGATGACAACATTTGGCAGCGAGGTTCACCTGGAGACTGTTGGAGGCCCAACACCGTCACTTGAGCACAATGACCATACTGTCACAAGCATACCAACTGAGTCCAAAATAGAGACAACATTTGGTGCAGATGGGGACTCTCCATCAGGGGATGAACAGTCAAGTCAGGAAGCAGTAAATCAGAACATACATGAGGATGAAACATCCAAGCCATTAACAGATGTTGAAACGCCTGTATCAGATATGAAAACTCCAATATCGGATGTCAGTGCATCAGTATCAGATGTGAGCGCACCAGCATCAAATGTCAACCCACCAATCACCAAACAGCCCACAAAAAGTGAGGTCTCAACAGTGGAAGCCACCCCCATGTCAGGTGACCTGGTGTCAACCAATGGGGAAGCAACCACTGCCAAAGAGAAGCTGGCATCCTTGATGGCACTGAGGAAAATGAGGTAACAGGCAGCTAATAAGGTTTTACCTTACAGTTTTTTTTGTGATTTTGAGGTTTGTCTGAAAGATCAGAGCTGATTTTACATTCAGCAGATATAAGTACAGCTGGTACAAATTGACTGGTTTTTTTCCCTGCACAGCTTTAAAACTGCCAAAGCAGAGTTACTGAAGCAGCTGAGGTTCCCAGGCCAGGTGTACAGTAACCTGCCGTCTGTACAGCCGCTCGTGCCTTACTTCTACCCCGACATGACCGACGATGACGGGCTGCACCTCATCGTGTGTGTCCATGGGTTGGATGGTACGTGACCCTGTCATCAGCACTCATTAATTATTAATAGTACTAGGTACTTCTCTAAATGCTGCAGTAAAAGGCAAGATGTATGTACAAATATAACTACTATACAGGTATTCCATGAAATCCATTTCAACATTTACCTGGTTTTCTTCAATTTAAGTTCATGTACTGTTATAACAAAGGAAACTAGTATTATCCTACCGGATAATGCTCATGTACAGTGAAGGTACTGTCAAGACACTGTTTTAACTTTGTATCATAAAATCCTCCTACATACATGTAAGTGCTGAAAGACTCTGCTGTTGTCCCCCAGGTAACAGTGCAGACCTGAGGCTTGTACGGACGTACCTGGAGCTGGGCCTACCTGGGACAAGAATGGAGTTCCTCATGTCCGAGAGAAACCAGGTGAGGCCTCCGTCATGTATCCAGGCTGAACTATAGTGGACTAGATTGAAGTGTGTGTTAAGCCCCTAAGTTGGTTCATTGGAAGAAATTCAACACAATCTGACATAGCAGTCAGCAGACTGAATTAGTGTCAGACTTTACAGGAGGTAATTAAGATAAATCAAGTGGATAAAATCTAATAACACCTAAAATATACTAACACATTATAAAATACAACATGTATTTACAGTTCATTCAGTACTTTTGTCATACAGAGATACATAATGAAGCTGGTGTGTTACGCCAAAAGGCGGTTATACCGGCTATACAGATACAGACAGATACAGATAATATCTGCTACCACATTTAAAAGGTCTACAGTTCATTCAATAATTTGGTCATTTTGGGGATAGCACTGGTTAAATATCGCTTTGACAGTTGACAGTTCAAATGTTCAATACTGAAGTACTATGCAGGTGGATCGTTGTTCATGCCTACATGTACTGTTGTATTCTCAGGTGGACACGTTTGCAGACTTTGACGTGATGACCGACCGACTGGTGTCAGAGATCCAGTACTACGTGGAGGTGCTGGGGATGACCCCTACCAAGGTCAGCTTCATCGGCCACTCCCTGGGGAACATCATCATCCGCTCTGTACTGACCCGGCCCGAGATGGTGCCGTTCTTAGACAAGCTCCACACCCTCCTGTCTCTCTCTGGTCCTCACCTCGGCACGCTGTACAACAACAGTGCTCTTGTCAACACAGGTAAGACTTAATTTTCATCATGTATTTTACCAACTTTCATGCTAGGACAGGTAAGATTTGTTTTTCTCTTACCAAATAGTACCCATGGTTCTCTTCAAGATATCCAATTGTGTACCTGTACTTCATAAGGCAACTGATAGGAAAGCAATGTTCTCTCCTTATTTCAGCCCTTTGCCCTGTTCAACAGGTCTTTCTATGACTTAATGTATGAATGTTAGATACCCTTTGTACTCCTTGCATGTTCAAAAGTTAGTTGTAACTACTGCTGTCATCTAGGCTCCAGCTCCCGTCAAATTGAAAGTTATTGTCATCTTCTGTCTTCTGTTGTAAATTTCTCTGTATAAAATATTGCATGTACATTACATGTACTTGTATGTAGTTGAGTGATATGTAACTATGCCCTTGTGTGAATGTGTGGGTCTGTCTCCTGATTTCTCCTGATTTCTTACTGTCCCCCATTTGTTTGACTTACCTGTCTATATCTCTACCCCGTCCTCACTACATGTCCTCTCATACCATGCCAGAAGAAGCAGGTAGTCCTAGGTTAGGTGAGACAGAAGCAGCTGGAGACGACGACACAGGCATGTTCTGTTCCCCTTGTGTGCACTGTTCTGCCCCCCCTCCCTCCTTATGTGAAACTTCCCAAATGTCTGCAGATTCTACAAGGAACAAGTTGCATCTGTCCTGACAGATCTTGGCTTAAGACATAATTGTTACACTGCAGGCATGGAAGAAAATTACAATCATTCTGATCCATTACATCAACCACCTTTTTACCATCAACCAGAGTTGTCCTTAGTTTTTATCCATCTAGCTAGTGGCTGGATAGAGTCTATAACTTAAGAAAAGAAGAAAGAGCATTTTTTGTCATCTAGGTTGGCAAAAATCCCTGATTTTAACTGTCCAGTCCCTGACCATTGGACTAAACAGCACCCCCATGGTACATGTGCCAACCTATGGCTAGTAGGAGATATCTGCAAATTTGGGAAGTTTGGCATACAGTGTATAACAGACAACTATTTGGTTCATACATAGGATAGAAGATAAAAGGATGACCAGACTAACAGTTCAGTCAGGGACACAGCTGTTTGCATGCAGGTTTAAAGCTGCCTACTTCATGTAACGTTACATTTGTACAAGCATGCAGCATTCTCAGTTGCAACACAAAAGGATTATTTCTCAGCTATGTTCATGAAAGAATAGCTTTGCATCATTTATGCATCTTTGTGGACTGACTTCAACATAACATCCTATTTTTGTTGATGCCGATTTAATCGTCTTTCTTGTCTTTAACACAATATTTGTTTTCTTACGTTGCATGCAGCTAAACTTGTTCAGAGTAAACAGATTTCCATCGTGGTATCCCAGGGCTACAACTGGTGGAATCTGTTTTACCTCAGCAAGTTTGGGAAAGGCAGCTTAAAAACTGCATACCCCACATGGAGGTAGATGTAGGTGACTTTGTGAGATGTTGAACAGACCTTGCCACTTTGAGACTGAGATTGGTGACCTTTTTCACAAGTTACAATTCCAAACTCTCTGGCACGGCCTGTTTGATTGGATTATGTCCAATTTTGAGGAAGCCAATCTTATACCACTGATACATTGCAAGTTTCTGTTGGATTCTGCAAAAAGAGAAACAAGCGAATGTTGTACCACTGATACAGTGCAAGTTTCTGTTGGATTCTGCAAAAAAGAGGAACAACCTGAAAGTTTGTCAAGTCATACACATGTAGTCTCACACTAAATCAGTGCACTGGACAAGGCCTGTACAATGTCTTACATCATACCTGGGAGTGCCTTAAACCATGTGGCAGCTGTGTTTATTGTTGGTTTGCTTGTTTTGTTGTTTCCATCAGGGATGTGGTTTATGCAGAAGTGGAAAAAGTCAGGGTCCCTCCTCCAGCTGGCGTTCAAGGACCACCCTGACCCCCAGGCACACTTTCCTGTACAGACTTTCGCAAAAACCAGGTAGGCTGTCTCTGATATTGATATAACAACAGTCTGCATTGTATGATTGGAGTGTGCGGGGACATGGGAGTATGCTTGGAATGGTGGTGGTTCTCTTACTTTTAATCAGTATCTCCTACAGTTCTTGCAGAAAAAGACTGTTTTTCGTTCTAAAAAAGCCATTTGAGATGCTGTCTACATTTTAGTTACAGTTTGATTGTCAGTATACTGTTGGCAAAACTGTCTTTATTTCAGCAGCATTTGCTTGTGACAGACTGTTTCCAGACCAACTCCTCTGGTTCAGGGTCAATGTGCGCCCAAGTAACTTTGCCAGCCTTTGCCCCTGGTGAAGGCTTCCTCATGTCCCTGAGGCAGAGGAGCTGGCCTGTATGTGTCGCTCTGGGAAACTGAAAAAATGCCTTTCTGTTTTTCCCATCACAGGTCTAGCATTGTTCAAGAATGTGCTGCTGGTGGGCTCCGTCCAGGACCGCTATGTGCCTTTCCACTCTGCCCGCATCGAAATGTGCAAAAGTGCTGTCAAGGACAAACAGTTTGGTACGTCAGCTTCCCTTCCCATAGATGTCATTCCCAGCAGTGGTCATGACTGCATTTTGGAACGTCTGTCAATGACAGGTGTTGTTGGCACAAGTCACATGTACTAATGCTGAATCTTCAGATTGTCTGTCATGGATTGTACTTGATTTAAGGAATGCATATTGCAATGATCAATAAGGTGATATTACCTGCCCCATGGATTGATCAATCAAGCACCACCTTCTATTTATCATTCTTATACATACATTGTATGCACACATACACACATACACGCACACATGCACACATACATACGCACACACATACATGTACATGCACGCGCACACGCACACACACACACACTTGTACACACACAGTCAAGCATCCCTGTCCCTGCTGTGACCTTCACATACTTGGACACACCTGTTCCAATCTCACCTGACTGCCTTGTGACCAGCCCTGCCAACCAGGTGTGACTAGGAGACAACACTGTCAACATTAGATAACACAAGCACTTTTACACTGTCGGACAGTGTTGACAGGGGTGGCTCAAAGTCCACTGTTTTATTTGGGTGGCACCTGGCCAAATTTAACAGTTGTTCAATTATTTGTATTTTGCAATATTTACTCACTTATGCATTCTAATTTCAATGTCAGGCAGTCTTTGTGTATTTGTCATACAGCTGTGAATGTCATTATTATAGTACAGTGCAAGAACTCAGATTTAATGGAGTAAAGTAGTGACGTACAGCACTGTTGTTTGATATCAGAATATGTTGAAAAATTTTAATAGACTAGACTAGACTAGAATCGAGAATTCAGATTGATGCTATAGTTACAGTTTTCTATACCTAGACAGGCAAGTGTAGACTTGTTTACAACTAGCTGCAGATTGAGCTAAGGTTATTGGGTAGTCACCCGGTAGTCATGGCAGTGTCCTAAAGTAACTGGCGCACGTGTCTATGCATCTGAACCTATCAAGTACAGGGAGTGAGTTGTTTGTCCAGCAGGTTGTATGGACAGGTGATGCCATTGTTGTTCTAGTTTGGGGATGTTTGGTCTGCATTTGCCACTGGTTAAAGAGGGGAATTTTTGATTACATTGACCAAAAGTTAAACATGTTTGAAAAATCAGTCCAAAAAATCAGTCCACTTACGACAACGGAAAGGATTTAAAATTAACTATGTAAAAGTTAATCTGTCAATAAGCAGTACTAATCTTGAGGTGCAAGGCCACACACAGGATGCTGTAGGTTAATGTTGTGGACTATGGCTTTTCTGTCAACATTGTTTCTATGTACTTTAGAAGGAGATTTGGCCTTGGATAGTAAAGCTGGCTTGCTGCCAGCTGTATCTGTTGATGTTTGTGTCTGGTGTAGCTTGTTGTGACTGGTACCTTCTCTACTGCTGTTCCTCCTAGAGCAGTTTGGTAATTCAAAATGTAAATAGCTCTAAAGAGGAAAATTGCAATTTGATACTTGGCGACATTGCTGCCTGACAACCCATTCATTTAAAAACCATTATATACACAATGAGGTGAATGCCTAGTGCATTACCTATTGGCATATGGCCACAAAAACAAGCCTAAGTGTGCAGGTAGCATGCCCAGACAAATCCTTCTGAATCATGCCATTGTTACTGAGGTTAGATCCCTGCCACATTAGTAGATAAAAGTACTAGCGGGATTTTTTTGTGTGTTATCAGCAGAATACAGGTACTTTGAAGAGATGAAATTCGGAGGATGTTTTTGACAGATGTCAGGTTTTTCACAGCTGAAACACTCTCTGATTCTCTCTATTAAAGGTCTTTCAGGTTGGCCTGAAGCCAGGGGCTCTGTAACAAATATGTGGTGGTGTATATGTGGAGTATACAGGCCAGGATGCTGGCATTTTGCATCTGTAGAAAATCGTATGTTTATTGATCTAATATGGAAGAATATGGACAATCCTGAATACCAACCCCATAGATATAATCATTAATCATTGTACAGAATGATATGTATTCGGTATATTTTTGACTGAATGTACAAAAATACTTTCATTTTTGTATTGACAATAAATGCTTCTATGTTGAACTTGACCTAACCTACATCCACAGGTGCTGTGTACACTGAGATGATCAACAACATTCTCCAACCTGTTGTCAACAACCCAGACGTCAATCTGGTCCGCTATGATGTCATCCACTCACTCCCCAACACTGCCAACTCCCTGATTGGCCGAGCAGCCCACATCGCCGTCCTGGACTCCGAGATCTTTATCGAGAAATTCATGTTGGTGACGGGTCTACAGTACTTCAAGTGAGGACCGGAAACTCTACATTATAACCATTGTGGTGCAACCATGCTGCAAAGTAATAATTGTGACTGAAGTGTTAATTAAAAAGTTACTGACAAATGTAATGTATTGATATTATGAATGACTGATGTGAAAATTGTCCGTTCAAGAATGTGATTGTTTTGTCAGGAGATGCTTCCATCTGAAAGTTGGAGGATAAAGTCAGTGAAAGGAGTTAGTGTTAAAACATACAGTACTTGGATTGTATAGGAATTGTGTGAAAGCCATTGAACATTGAGACAGTCTGGTCTTTCCTCAGTTTCATGGGTATTTATATAATAGGCTGTGGATCAAAAGTTCTGTTGAGGCTAAATCAGGGGGCTGACAGTGTTTTGTGGTAAACATAATCCAAGTAAGTAGTTGTTGTGCCAGGATCATAGCCATAGTGACTCTTGGTTGGTGAACTTTGCTGATAGCCTTATATGTAGCCCTTACAAAATTATGCAGGGGCGTATATATAAGGTGAGGCCTTTCTTGTGATGGCAATACGTATATATATAAGGCTACCAACAAAATACACCAGACAAGAGTTGCCACGGCTATACCAGGACCACGACATCTCCAATAATACAAGTAGAACAGCAATACTGGTATTTATGTTTGTCTGTCTACATTATTATTTAATTTCTAGATTTTAACATCAATATTATGATTGAACAGTGATGATTGAGGCCAGTGAAGGGATTCTTTATATTATGATACCATAGAATCACTTCTAACTTATAAACTAATTAATCAAGGTAGCAAAAAATGTGTAATAGATAAAGATAAGTAATAATATCAGGAGACATCTGTCATTGTATGTCACAAATTTCCAACAAGTTTGTTGGTGCCATTGACGTATTCTGTGCCATTGTAAGTAGTGCAACTAAAAGTGGAAGTTAGGTAGATAAGATGAAATAAATGCAAACTAAGCACAACACTGTATCCATGCACAGGAGTATCTAGTTAGATAGGGTTTTTGTGAGTTACACTTACTTTAACTTATGTAGATTGTGCCTTCAAATTGAAAACCTATGTCAACTTCATTTCAGGGTTCTCCATAAGTTATGGTGCCATCATATGTTTGCCGTGATGCATTTTTCATGGTGGTATTTTGTTTTGCTTGGCATGTGAAGATTTGATAACAGTAATTGAAGAGATGATAATATCCTTGTACGTAGTTAGACAAAGCAATACACAGACTTTCATTACTTTGGGCTCAGTGAAATCAGGACATTGTTACTGTATGCT